TTTCGATCAAAAACGCAATTAATTATAAATTCATATTCATGGGCAATTATCCGATTATTTGAGTTAATATTTCTCGTATGTCAAAAGTATAAAACGAATCGTCAGATATATCTTAGAAATCTTTCAATTCATCTTTCAATACTCGCAATTGTTGGTCTGTGTCTTTAATAATCCTCCTCGTTGATGTTTGCCACACACAAGAAAGTCTTGCTTTTTATTATATTCCTTTTTCCGTTTATTCTCGTCATGGGAGTAGATTTTTAACAGCATTGTAATTTAAGTGCAAAAAGAAAAAAAGTAATTACGCGAGTAAATTCAAATCCCGTCTCTCTCTCTTTTCCTTGTTTTCTCTTTTTTATTCCATCGATTCGTTGAATTGATGTGTACGTGTAGCGAATAAAAGGAACATCTCGTAATTACGATTTGAAGAGAAACACGTTTCGGATGAAGAAGTTGACGGTTTCTCAGTACTGTCTCTTGATCGTCACGTTCGTGAAAAGGATCTGTCTAACGTGAAATACTCTCATCGCCCGAAAGATTTTATTACCGAGCCTATATTATCCTGGAGGTTTATTACAGCATGTCCTCATCTGCTGTTTAGATTAATCAGCGACCTCGGGGCTTTGAATTAGACTGACTCGATACTTCGGCCGTGAACTATAAACCCAGCGGTTAATTTCGCGAGAAACTCGCGTTTTCGAAGCGTAAATTTCACGACAGATGTCTGAATATATGCACGAGTTCGATTCCCGTTTACATGGCCAAGTGCGATGAATGTTTTGCCTCTTACTCAACGTTATCTCGTAAGCTGAAGATGAAAAGCGATCCTTTATAACCACCAAGCACGCGCGTGAAAATCCGATAATGCCGGATTAATCCGTGGATACATAAATCTCATTACGGTCTACCGAAAAGATAAAATTACTCGTGTTAAACTCGGCGGAAAGAAAACACGCCGCTTAATCGTCGGTATTGCTTCTCGCTTAGAATTAACAGGCAATTTAGCGAATCTAAAACGAGCTTTCTTTTATCATAATCTCTTTACTGCTTCGCTTTTTATTGGCGCCGGAAATTTCGATGGGATTTGGAAATTTTGATAAGATTCTCAAGAACGTGAAAAGGAATGTAAAGAAGAAATATCAATTAGAAATATACACAGTGACTTTAATTTTATTTAAAGGTGCTCCGAGACAATCTTTTCTCATCGATAATATCAAGAAATTAAAATCGCAAGATCTGAAATATTCTGTACACGTGCTCGCGAAAAGCAAAAGGTGGAAAGAGATTCAACCGGATGCGTGAAATCGAATGGATTCGAGGATCAACAACACATGAAATATAATAAACTATATGCGCGAGGTTGAAGACGCAGGACAATCTGTGAAGCGAGATCCTGCATTTGCATGCGAATCATCTGGAACATCGCTTCCTGTATCATTGAGGTCGTTATTCTAGCATTGGGCGATTCCGAAGGACACGGCCTTCATTTGATAATTGATTGATGTCCCGAAGAGACCAAGAGATCCAAAACTCTCTGCTATTTATAATCGCACGTGTCTCGTGAATTAATTCAGCTAATTAATTCGAGTCCAAAGAGAGTCGGTATCCAGCTTTTCTTATCTCCTTTCTAAAACGCGCGTGTCCTCATCGAAATTTTGTGTTCTCGTGTGAGTCTCATCAGGTATACGTTCCGATATTCGCGGGGAGATCTTAATCGTGCAAAAATCACGCCGTTCAAATATGATTGATGCGTCGACGCGGAAGGGGAGGCAGAGGAGGAGAAACATTTTATTCCGAAGGAAAAAACGTTAATAGCGTTACTTCCCACCACTCGATGAAGTAAACGTTACGAAGTAACTGATTTTTGCTGTGCTCACATTGGCTCGGTGGTTAACGTATTAATTTCATTGCGGGTCTCGCTTTCAGCACGACGCTTTCTGCCGTCCCCAATTGATTGGGAATGCACGGCGAAGTGGCATTTTGTCGTTGATGCCGGTGTTTTACAGGCCTCTTCGACTCCTCTCCCAGTCGCATCGAGCAACTCGCCTTATCGTACTTCGCGCGCGAAAGTTATTAACGCTCGGAGCGTCGCGCTTCGAGAAACCACGTAAGTCGTGTTGCATGCGGCTTGAAGACGCTGGTCTAAATAAGTCTGATTGCTATTAATATCACGTATCGTTAGCAAGTGCGGAAAAACGCAATTACAATCTCGGCCAAAAGCGCGCGCAGCATCTTTGCTACGAATAAATCAAAAGGATTGAAAAACTATATTCAAGTTCAACGATATAAAGATGTTCTATTGGTACGTGTAAGTTGATTCAAACATTTATTATGCCTCATGAAATTCTGATAAATGAAAAACAACACGGCGGGAAATTTATTTAAAATTAGAGTATTTTTTATTACTTTAGCATGCGTAAATTGATTTGCAAATTTACCACGTCTCCTAAAATTCTAATAAAATATTTGAAACCATGAAGGTACATTGTCGATGCTTTAGTATGCGCAAGTTGATCTGAAGATTTATTACGCCCCTTGAAATTTAATATTAGTATTTACGTAGACTGATCTGAAGGTTTGTAGATTTGTTCAACTTGCAATGACCAGTTTGGATCATTTCGATTCGTTGAACGAGCTTTGCATTCTTGGCCAAGGCTGTAGCTGTGATTTCTCGCCGGTGATGGTTGTAACGCGATCAATCAGTGCATTCTTCGGCAAATGTGCGAGATAAGTTGAGCGGAAGCGTAGCGGGTATATTTTATCTCGTTAATTACGCTGGACGTTCGTTCGTTTCGCCGTCAGAATTCGTGGGCAATTTGCAGTTGAAATGGCGGCGATCAGCTTCCTATTGAATTTTTATCGCCCGTGTTATATATTCCGATAATTCCCCGGATAATAAGCACCGCGCGCGCAGAACGGCACGCGAATTCCTGTGCGAGTCAGGGACTTGGCTGAAAAATTTTCAAGCGGATCCGCTTTGCAATAAGGAGGAACACGAGAGACAAAGCGATGGCGCTGATGCACCGGTGGCCTTCTGACAAAATTTTCGCCATTTAAATGTCATTAGGGCGCCGGAGCTGCTTAAGGCGGCCAACGCATTAACCGTCATAATAAACACGCCGAGTATATCACAGATGTTTCACTTTTATTTATACTCATATTTCCATAAGTTATCCCATCAAGGTCGTCTCACGAATCTGAAAACGCCTCATTGATTGAATTCCGATTGCTTATTCCGACGAAACACCCGTAGATAACAGAAAACTAATTTACCGATAAAAATATTCAACGAGATTACACGTTCGATAAAAGAAAAATTAGCCAGACGGAGTAATCTTTATTTGCATTTATTCGCGGAATTCCTCATAATTTACGGAAGAATTGGAATCGAATTTATTTTTAGTTAGGTCGACATAAAATAATTAATCGCGAAGGATAAGATTTTTCTTAGTAAACGCGCACATTGTTTCCTCGAGAATTATAAAATTCGCTACATCGAACCGCAACGAGACTGCAGATGAAATATTTTAATGAAAAAGAAAACGAACTGTACGAACTTTCGAATACGAACGAATCTTTATTCGCAAATATCTGTAAAATTCGTCGTAATTCGCCCAAGATACTCGACTTTACCTTTGATAGACGCAATTTTTCTCGCAGTGAACGCGATATCTCCTCGAAAGTCGCAAAATCCGCAGCCGTGCCAAGAGAAGTCACGGCCAGTCGCGACTTACGGCTCGGCTCACGATACATAATTTCGGCGTTGTCCGGTAATTGTGCAGGTTTTCCTTGAACTATCCTTTTACCGATGTCCTGAGCACCTCGCGCGGGATACTGATTACATCTAGCTACGTTGTCGTTCTCGTAACAGGTCCGAAAAGTACACGGTCTACCATTCTCTTCGGCTGGAAAGTCCGCGCATGTGGGTCGCATGTATCGAAGAAGCTGCCGCCTCTCGTCGAGAGAACAATCATTTATCTAACTTAATTTTCTAATCACTCCGAGATCTCTCAGCATCCCCGCGCCGCGCTCGGCGCGACAGTACGCTGACAATATTCGCTGTTCACACGATTGTTATTTAATTAGCGTATTTGCTTAATTATACGCGTTGACCATCAAAAACGACGAGTCGTTGAGAGGAATTAGAATGCGAAGCCTCGCCCCTTTTTCTCTCTCTCTCTCTCTCTCTCTCTCTCTATCTCTGGCAAAAATGTTCAATAATACTTCTCAACGTGCGATCCGTCTTAATAAATATGAAAGCCTTTCGCGAAACGTCGAACGAAGGCGGCACACGAACATCATTCGACGCGGTTTCGCGTTTCCTATGCTGAGAATACCGAAACATTATGGCAGCGGTAGGCCGCGCTCGTATGATGAAGCATTCGGTGTTACACGGTCAGACCTCGGCTCGACTCGGTCGTAATGGCCGGTTGATGTAAGAACAAGAGGAGGAACGAAAAGAAGACGGGTATGATCCATGCGGTCTGCAATTAACGGACAAAAGACTCTGTGACGCGTCTTGAAGTACGATGTTAGGACTTGCAAATTCAATAACGCGATGCGTAGGCGGACGCGCGATCTCTCTCTCTCTCTCTCTCTCTCTCTCTCTGTCATTCCTAAACACGCCTCGAATGCACTCGAAACTATATTCCACATGACCGCGACAGTCGCACCTGTCACTTTGCATAATCGCTTCTCCGCAGAAAAAGAATGACTGAGTCTGGTCGACCGTGTTCTTTCCGGTTGACAAACACGTCATTCTGCACCGCGAACTCGAGCGCGAGAAAACAGATCGCCCAATAGAATTGCTTGCGATTGTCGAGTCTCTCTGTATTTTTGTTATCAGGTTTTCTTTCTTTTTGTTAGACTAAAACGAATGTCTCAATTAATGACCAAAAATATTCTTGTCGTTAAAGACCCTAAATGTAAATTAATAAATTAATCGTCGTCGTTAATAAGGACGTTGTCACTGAGATTCAAATTTTCGCTGACGCAAAATTTTTATTTTTCCTGACATATTTATATTCGAAATGTATTTGTAACATACGAACATTGTGCGTTGCATAATCTTCTATGATGGTGTCCTTTTTTATTTATTTTTCTTCGAGATCGTATCTTTCGGAAGTTTCGTCCTGAACACATGAAAATTTCGCGCACTTATCCGCTCCGATGTGAACGTCACATAGAGAAGCGTCCCTCGGAGGATCAACCAGCAGATCATTTGGCAGGGTTCAATGTTAGCGATAAAAATACATAGTAGGGAGAAAGCGCGACGTAAGTTATGTTTAAGTAATTGTAGGCTTACGCTTCGGACAGCGGTCCAGAAAATCCAGAGGAAGTATGTTGCTCCGAGTTTACTTTAATAATAGCCGTGATGGCCGTAGCCATAGCCGTAGTATGGATATCCTAAATGGGGATGAAGAAGTAATACATCAATATTTTCGCGCGGACGATTTCTTTGTCGCAGTGATGAGTGTACATATGTGTGTGCGCGAGCGTGAACGATTTTTTTGTTACGAAGGCGAGCTCGCGTGCACTCGGCACTTATACACGGTGTTTCGAGAAAGAAGGATCCTGCTATACGTAGTTATATTCTTCTCACCAAGACAAACAAAAAACTTCGGATAAACGTAGTGCGTAAACAATGCTTGGTTAAAAAGTTAATGTCGAGACAAGATTAATAAAATTAATTTTGGTGTTAATGCAATACATACAATATATTTTAATATTCAAATGAACTCCAAAAATTCCAAAAATAAAAGTCTGGTGGATTTAATAATTTAAATAAATATCGCACGTATTAACGTCGAGGTTAATTCTCTTAATCACGACTCGACATTAATCTTTTAATTAAACACTTTTCGGTGTTACGTTTATAGGAATTTTTTGTTTCTTTTGATAAGAAGGATATAACTATATATAGCCAGGGAGAGCCCACCTTTTCTGAAACATTTTATACACAAAAGCTATTTTGTGTATAAAATTGCGTGTTGTGAGATTGTATAATAAAAAATTTATCACGCAGGTGCACAAAACGTGCTGAAAACGTCATTGTTGCGCTAGAAACGATTCTTTCGGTTGGCTCTCAATGCAAAATCTACGAACAAGCTACGTATCTTCTTGCAAAAATTAACTCGTCGTAATTGAAATTATTTTGCATTACGTTAGCGCTCATAACGACAAATTAAAACCCCGTAAATTTTACATCTACACTTGTATATGCTATAATTTTTTTATGACCCAATTATCCGAATTTAAAACGAAGTTGTTCAATTTTGCTCAATTGGATATCGATTAGCCGCAATAAGAGATAAAAAGAAGAAAATGTTACAAGTCCCAAGAGCGACTCAAAGTTAAAGGGGAGACGTACGAATCGATGGGGAAATGACGATTCTGCGATGAGACTGCGATGCTGCGAGTATAGTATTGCGTAAAATTGTGTCGTTTTTACCATAATTCCTACCGTATCCATAACCATGGCCGTATCCGTGTCCGTATCCGTGGCCGTATCCACCATGGCCGTATCCATGGCCGTAGCCGCCATAGAATGGAAACTTGTAACCGTAGGAGTACGGATAGAAGCCGTATCCGTATCCACCCAAGTATCCCGGTTTCGCAACTGCCACACCGATTGCAACGGCCAAAAGCAGAACGATATACTGTAAAGGTGAGAAGCGCGTTGAAGATTAGTCGATAACGCTCGGGAGAAGTATTTCGCTCCTTAATGTAGCGAGTTTATCCGGATTAATCCTTCGCGGCGTTGTGACAAGATTACCCTTTCGGCTGAGGCTCTTTAAGCTTCGCTCGTGTCGCGCTTTATCGCGAAATTGCGGCGAAATAATAAAGCAAATTTCGTTTTAATGACTCGCGCAGGTATCGTTATCGCGCGATTTCGACGACTCGCGTTCAAGGACATTGTGATCTAAAATTTGCATCATACGCGCCACTAAGAAATGAGAAATGAGAAATGTGGGTACTAGAAACTCCAAGGAAATTATAAATTAACCTCTTCAGGGACGAATTTATTAAAATCGGAGGAGAAAATTATTTAAGTTGACATAAATATTATGTCTGTCACCGTGTAACAATACTTCTCTTTTTCTCATGGAATTCTACAAATTAACTTCTTCAGAGATAAATTGATTAAAATCATAAAAAAAATCATTTAATTTCAAAGCTACGTAAATATTATATTAATCATATTGTGTGCCGAGGATTTTTCCTGCTTTTATGAAACGTTACAAATTAACTTCTTCTTCACACAGTGACGAATTCATGAAAATCAGAAGAAAACAATTTAATTTTAAAGTGACACAGATATTACGTCAGTCAATCGTGAGACGAGATTTTTCTTTTTCTGCAAAAGTTTTCGCCGTGAATATTTGTTTATAATATCGTCTGTGACATTTTTGTCGACGACATCCAACGACAATCCGAATTAAGAAAGAAATACTTAACATATACGTAGGTATCAGCATGCGCCCAAGGAGGTTAAATTATCAAGGAACTTCCGAAGGGTCGCGAAGAAATCGATCGGAAATCGCGATCGCCAGGGGGTGTAAACCGACGCGACTCTTCACGAACGACTTTCCGCGCCTCGCACTCGCTGCACTTACGATCTTCAGACACGCCATTCTCTCGTTATTGCAGATACGCGGTTCTCGCAGGTTCTCAGTCGCGCCGATTTTTTCCCATCTGTCGTAGCCGAATACCACTGTCTATCGTTTCTCAGCGACAGGCGGGCTTCTTTTATAACAAAGGCGAGGTCCGCCGCAGCGACGCGCGCGCGGTGGACCCCCCACGGGAGAGTTGCGCTTTTCCGGACCTCGCATTGGCCTCCGCGTCTCCGCCTGTGCTAATAGGAAACTTCATTGTTACCCTGAGATTACACGACTGAGTTGCGGCTCGCATTATGAAAGAGAGACGCGACGCGACCTGCACGTGCGGCGAATTCACGTGAGTTCCCGGGCGCGGCGTGGCCGCTCCGCCCGCGGTGGACGCCTTGACATCCGAAAATTTCTTCCTCGACGCGGTTGCTCGCGTGTGTCCGCCGTGAGGCCCCTCATTATTGCGGCCGGGGGAGAGAATCATACGTCGCAACCGTCGTGGGTTACGATACTTAATGACCGCCGCAGCCGCTAATCGCTTATCGCCGGCAATAATGCACGGGCCCGCCGGTGAATCCCGGCCGTTGAGCACAGGGAAACCGTGCTCTCCTCCGAGTATCGTAAGCGAAACAGAAAGAGGTGACAGACGATGCGACGCGACGCTTACGTAAGCCGGGATTCTCTTACAAAATGTGCCGTTGGCGAAATTGTGCTGATATATTGCGCTCGAGCGCGCGTCCGTGCTGATATATGCGTGAGCGGTTGCCCAATTTTGCGACGACGATGTCCTTTTAGCGATACGTTTCGTTAGAACTGCTGGAATTTGCGAGAGGAAGGACGACTTGAAAGAGACCGAAGAGTGCCGAGTCAGGGGATTCATTAATTAATTTGCACTTGCTTGGGACGATCAACGTTAGTCTTCTGTATCTTTCTCTTGAGTAAAAAGTAAGATTTAGGTAAAGTTTAAGATTTAGTAAGGTTTAATTATATAACCGAATTATGCTGATGTCGTGCTCGCTGTGAGATACATGCGAGGCTGAATTCACTGAACCGTGAAAAGAAAAACAGAATTGATTAAATGCGGAAACTTCGTTTTGCTTTCAACATTTATTATTTGAATAAAAGGATTGGCGGGCGTGTCCTGATCCTTTCTTTTTTTATTTATTATTTTTCAGTGAGACGTTTGAAACGCACACGGCTCGATAATCTTCGTGTAACAATTATTGAAGGCTGAAGAAACTAATCTCGGAAAAAATATCTAAAAATGAAATATATTTATTTCGGTCGCTAACAACACATGTATGTACTTAAACCTAAAAATTTTTTATTTAAATAAAAAATAAGTAACTGTTTCTTTTTCACGAAAATCTCATTTGAAAGAAAGAGATTCTCGGTAAAAAGATGTATGTTAGTAAGAGTAAATTCAAATTCATTAAAAATATCTTTCAGACATTTTTTCTTTGACCGCGTCCGTGAACGGAAAGATAACGCTCCTAAGAGAGACTTGTACTCTCTTATTTAAGAAAAATTATTTTCTCAGTGCAGAAATATATGTACTGTTATCGGTAGAATTTAAGTAAAGTATCTGTATCCACTGATTAAATGTTTCCTGTTTTTAGATATTCTTTTTTTTTTTAATGCGGAGAAGTGTGGATATGTCAAGGAATTAGCGAAGAGATCGTCGCGTCTCGGATGAAGTTATCCAAGGGTACGTACGATCTAAACGAAACATATGCATTGCACATGATTGTTCTTCATGTGAGGTGACGAGGGCGCATCGATAAAAATCTGCTAGAAATTGAGGACACTTCGTTGGCAGGTTGTCACTTTTTCTTCCGATGCTTTCGGCCGATAGCGAGAACAGGCGTTGTTCTGTCGCTTCCTCGATGTATCATACTTACCACGGGCTCCGCGATAACGCGATAACTCACCTTGCGTCTCGATCAATCGCGGCACCGCCCATATGAATATTCCGCGATTGTCTTCGCTTTTTTACGGGAACATGATTCCCTTTCTTACGTACGTTTACCTTCACGCTCGATTGTCCGCACGTTATTCCGAGCCGATCTATTTTCCGCTCCCAGCGGAAACGGGACCGAATCCAGGATCGATATTCAGAATAGCGAAGGATTTCTAGCGCGTTACGTAAAAATCGTTATGCATTTACGCCTTGAACGCGCGCCGTAATGATACCATTTAACGATCGATATGGATCTTGGGAGAGGAAAAGTTCACACCATCCGAGGGATCCTGGCCGACTCCGGAACGCCCAGGAGAAGAGTTGCGGTTAGAAGGAAAAGAAATATCACGCTGTTCAAGGGATCCGCTAACAGTTCTCTTTTCGCGCGAGCAAACGGATGCGACTAATTACGCGAAAATGAAGGGTCTCCGCGTGCAGCTCTCTCGCGTGCCTTGCATAATCGCCTTTCGTATCGTCATCGACGCCGGTTAGACAGACGCGTCGAACGTGCGTACGCGAAATCGCGTGGAGGCCGCGAAAATTACTGGACCATGCGAAGCCCTGTGCATTGTTCGGACGACGAATAATTGCGTGGATAAAGGCCGGGCAATAATCATGAGAACGTTCCCTTCTCTATCGTAATCGTGGGAGCGTCGCCGCGAGTGGAAACCGACGACAAGTTCGAACGTGCGTGTCGCGCGGCTCTTAATTAGCGGATTCGTTAATTATCGACTGATCTTCCCATGCAGATCCGATCTCTCGCCGTAAGCGATATGCAGACGCGAGGCACGAGCGAAGGTTAACAAATAACGAGCAGCCGTCATCTCGTCGAGAATGTCGAGGATCGTGTGTCGTAAAGTTCGCCGAGAGTTTATCCGGCTTTTAAGCAGCTCCATCGAACGCTCTGCGTCTTCGTGACGGAGTCGCTGCGCCCGCGGTGGATGAAGTTCATAACCTTCCCAGTGAACATTACCAACTTTATTGTATCTTTCAACGGAATACATAATGAGCCAACGATCAGCATGTAAATCACGTTATTTCGCCGGCTGGAAGAATCTCGTGGACTTGCGACGGAGATGGTTTGTCTTATAGCATATTCATCAGCGACGCTTCTCTTGCATTCTCGGCTGAACTTGCGCTTCAACGGCCGTTGCGCTCGAAGCGTTAAAATTACACTGACAGTCGTTACCGGCAACGTCGATGAAGCCTCGCAATCCGAGATGCTGTTATAATAACGCGGCGGAGGTTTCATATTGTTGTATATTCATTTATTTTATCTTTACTTAATTTCAAGATCTTGAGACGCGCGCACGAAAAAGGTCTACTTTAAAGACTGCAAAAGTCATCCAGAAGAGGCGGTTATCATGCAACTTTCTCCAAAGATCAAGAATGTGAAAAGTTTCGCACTTTCGGCGAAAAGTTCAAATCGTTAACTTTACGTGAAACTTTTCACGTTTCAGAAGAAGATCACATGACCGCCATCGTGAATTTAAATCTTCGTCCAAATAGAGTTTAAATAACAATTAAGCTTCGATCGATGCTGGTAAGAGCGGCTATTGGGAGCTTTGCTTAATTCGTTTTTAACTTTTTGTATCGAGAATTCAGCCAAAAACGCAACGACAATTCTTCCACCATATCGCATTTTTAACTTTACGTGCCTAAATCTATATTTCAATTTCGCCTCCGTGAATCATGCCGTGAATCGCGAGGTGTCGACGTCATCAGGCTTTCCGGCTCTGGAAGTTCACCAGGCCGAGCTGCTTCAGGCTCTTCCGCTGCGTGTTGTATCGATTCGAGGTGGAAGCTGGCGCCACCTCATCCTGATTGACCGCGGTTATCCTTTCGGGGTTCTCGTCGTCCGTGAGTTCTCCGGCCGAGTTCTCCGGCTGGTCGTCCGACTCACCGGAGTCGGCTGGCTTGTCCTTCGGCGGTAGGTACTTCTTACCGTGAGCGTAAGGACCGTAAGGAAAATGGAACGGAAAGCCAATCAGATACGGATCGGCAAAGATGGGATAGCCACCGTGGCCAACCCCGGCCACAGGGCCGCCCTTGAAGTGGAAGTGGTCGTAGGGCAGAATGTTGAACGGGGGCGGAAAACCGTGGTGGTGGAAGAACGGCTTCAAAGGGGGCCCATAAGGATGCGGGTAGCCGTTTTTTGACGAGTTGCCGCGATCGCCGTTGCCGGCCGGCTCCTCCGTTTGCCTGCTGTTGCCGTTACCGTTGCCGTTGGCGTTACCGTTACCGTTGCCGCCGTGCCCGTTATCGTGGTACCCATAGCCGTAGCCAGGAGGCCCATAGAAGTCGGGACCGCCATGATAAGGCCCGTGAAACCCATAGTGTCTGTTCCGTCCGTTCCCGTTGCCGTCGGTGTCATTCCCGTTTGCGTGATGGGGCCCATAAGGTCCATAACCAGGGTAGCCGCCGTAGGCGAACGACGGACCGCCGTAGGGCCCATGGTGGTAGCCATGGGGCCCGAAATATGGTGGCCCATAACCATGATGGTTTGTGCCGTTGTTCTCGACTCGTGCGTTCTCCTCCGAGCTACCGTCGTCGTCATTATAATGGTGGAAATGTCCGTAAGGTCCATAAGACCCATGGAAGTCTCCGTAGGGTTTTCCTCCTAGATAAGGTCGGAAGCCGCCGGCGTAGGCGGAGTACTGATTGGTGGGCGACTGCTCGATGCTACCGATCGACGAGTCCACGTCGTCATTGATAGTGGACTTGTCAGTCGCCCTGAAGTTACCATTCGACGGGAAGTTGTAAGCTCGATTGTTGAAGTTCGGTTGACCTTGACGTAGATAATATTCCTCGTCCGACAAAGACTGTCCTAGACCTCCGCTCACTCGCGGCTCTTCCACCCTCGTCGGAGGGTTGTCGTAGAGTCCGTTGTAAGGGTAAGGGTTTGAGCGAGGTTCGTAGTACCTGGCTGCATTCGTCGTCTTGTCGACCACGTTGTCCAAGGTCGAGGGCGAGTCCGGGTCGTCGCCGTTGAAACGGATGGGTATCGCCAGGATGGATTGGTAGGACGACCGGTTGTTGCGTTGCTGCACGTCGCTCAATATCGCCGGTGATATCACCGAGGCCACGTTCTTGGCGAAGTTCGCCAGGATCTCGGGACCTCCGTCAAAAGGGAGTAGTTTAATGAACGAGGAATTTAATCGGGGCCACGCGATTAAACTCAAATGTCGCGGATCGCTTTGATCTCTCCTCGCGGATGTTATTTGTTAGGCGGTGATTTCGAGTTACGAGCCGTCGAGCGCGCGGCGATCGGTCTTCCCGCCTGGATTTTTATGTACATCCGGTTAGCAGCAATATATTTACGAAAACATGCCGATTCGATGCAAATGCAACATTCCAAAACGCCGGGGGATAAACTGTTCGTAAAAAGAGGGAAAAGGTCGCCGACGTTCCTTAAATATCGCGTTGCCGCGAGCGATCGATGACGCGAGGAGAGAGACTTTACGATATTTTAATTATACTTATGGAGCGAATAAAGTTGTATCGAATTAACATCGGGTACAAGGTTTTTTGTTACATCGATGAAAAACTAACAGCAGCAAGACTAAAGGTTACACTCGGATTTTTATCTCACGTTTGACATCACATATCGCTGCGACTAAATTCTAATGATCTCTTTTGCATTTCTGTTTCGTCATTCTATGCGAAAAGTGCAAGTATTGTGTTCGTGAAAGCTTCTAGATGGACTTTCACGGTCGTCACAGAATGACGTAGAATCGACGGGGGACTTTACACTATTTTAATATTTCATTTTTCATGTTACATTTTATGTAGCACTGTTTTGAGTAAATTCTGATTTCGTTTCGTTTTTCTGTTTCATCGTTATATGCAACAAACGTAAAGTTATACTTACTAACTGAGCTTCGCGCCGTTTCCCCTCCGCTTATCGCGCACCAGAGCGCGATGCAGTGGAACAGTATCTGCAACGAGGAAGAATTGGCGATGTCACATGCGGTGTTTGTTAAAAAAAGAAAAAATTGCGACCAAGTCGCACTTGGAATTTGGCGCTTGATAAATTTTTTGTTCTCAAAAAGATTCTCGCGCAGACTGTCGCACGCGAGCGAGACGATCTTGTACGTCTTCACCGTTCTTTCGCTGGAGTTGCTCGAAAGTTTTATCAACACGGACAGCGTTCTCGCGAGTGTATAATTAAGTTGATAAAAAAATAATGAATTCTCTCCCGCGTCACACTTAGCATAACGTATAAACATTCGCGACGTGACAACTCCGTCGTTAATACCCGTTTAATGTTTAGCGGTGGATTCGCGATGAATTATTGCCATGCCATCATTTTGCAAAATACCCGATTATAAATAGGTATTATTATCCAGTTGTTCGATAAGCTCATAAAGATTTGAAGATGTACGAGATACTCGAAGCCGATAACCCTATAGTCACGCGCGACTTTATGCTTTTCACTTTTTATAATCTTCTGGTGTTGAGAAAAGGACCTAAATAAACGTTTTGTCCAACTATAAAATTTTTATTACTCTTTGTAAATTTTCTAGGAACTCATCGAACGACTCAGTGTTATAAATAAAGAATTTATGTGGTTTCAGTGTTAATCAAGGTAATCGGCTTTTTCTTCTCTTTCTCTTTCTTCTTTTCTTCGAAATCAAAAGGTAACTTCGCGGCAATTTTGCCTACGTTTTCACGCGAAAATATCTGAAATACCGCGGTGTTTAGATTTTCCGGGCAGGAGAAGAAGAAGAAGAAGAAGAAGAAGAAGAAGAAAAAGAAGAAGAAGGAGAAGCAGAGGAAAGAGGGAAGAAGAGTGTTACGAGTAACGCAACGCGCAACGACGTCGAGCATAGCGTGACTGGCGATCTCCCTGTAAAATTATGTTTTATTTGTCATTGCGTAAGGCGAGTAGAAGAAAGAGAGAGGGGGGCGAGGGAACGCGTGTGCACATAAATCCGGCGATCAACGCACCGCGTGTGCCGATTGTGCAAAATCTCGGCGAAAAGGAGAGCCGACACGCACGCACGCACGCACGCACGCACGCACACAAGCGCGCGTGCAAATATCGGCTCCCGGCATGCTTATTAACCGCGTCTGTCGTCTCTCGTCGTATGGAACCGCGATTCTTATAATAATAGAATCGAATCGGTCTGTGTGTGCGGTCACGCCGATTGCATTTTCGCGAAGTGCAACGCACGCACGTCGAGGAAACGCCGCGAGCAGGCTCGCACGGTCGAGTTACCGCGCGCGACGCCACGAAAATTAATTCGCGTCGCGCGTGTTTTATATTTTATAGTCCTCACGATCGAGTCACGTAAAATGCGGACAGTTAGATCCCGGAGCTCACAGTTACTCGTGTTAAATCTTCATTGTGCTAGAATGATAATACTTGACGAACAAAGCAATCTCGTTAATATGGGAAATATCCTTCCGAGAAGGATATGAAGAATGAGGGAGGTGAGGAATGGGGAATTATTCTAACATTAGATTTTGATACAAAAGATTTGTCTCTTTTGTCAGATAAAGAAGGAAGACGAAATCACCATGTTTTTCAAAGGACAAACAATTAAAAAAAAATTGAATTATCGAATAAAATGAACTCTCTCTGGACCTTTTCTTTTTTCAGACACCTAAGAAGGACTTCTTCGCCTTCTTAATATGCAAAATTCCTAGAGAGAACTTGATGGGAAAATGATGACTTTTTTCTCATCGACTTAACACAAGAAATAGGATACAAGGATCCGTTTGACGTGGATGATAAATTTGCCGTGTACGCTCAACCAAGGACATCTTGTTGCGTACATTTACACTGTCAAAGACAATTACCTTCTCGCGATGAAGATTCAGCACGAATAATCTGCATTCGGCTCTAGTCGCCCATATGACCGTGTTCTACGATTTAGACTCCAGTGAAAGAAATTTCTTTCTCAATCGATCGGCCGTTTTAACTGCTCAACGCTTCGTAGGATGGAAACTCCGTAACGGAAGTTGCAACCGCAAATATTCCTCCGATTTATGTAAGACTCATATGAGCGCGGCTGTTCTTTCTTTTTACCCGACGTTTTATCAAATACATAGTTATCAGGCAACAATTTGAGAGCGCTTCCTTGTAATGTCAGCACGCTTTGTAAGTAAATATAGGTGGACGATGTGACTTCCGCCGCACATACCGTGGCATTAATAATAAAAGTACTCCTACGTCGTGGCGAGTACTCATTTGTCGACGCACATTTTATATCAGGCGCAATCCACCTGCCGAGAAAGCTTTGGTTTAAACTTAATCGCTTCTGGTTTTCGCTCATATCAGTAACGATTCGATAGAAAAAATAATAGCAGTAAGTGCCCATTAAAACGAGCAAATAAACGAGGCATCGAAAACTTTACAAAGGGTCAGTAACAATCGCTGTCCAACGTGAATATGATAAAAATAATAATTAAATATCCAGAACGCAGCTGTAGCAAAATCAGTGTCGGGCATTAATAATCGATTCAAACTTTAGTTCGCTAAAATAATCGACGAATCGATAGTCAAAATCAATCAATCGCCACACATGTAATTATGAGCACTTTAATCAATATTCAATCAAATCAAAGTAATCGTTTCGAGTGACGATCACTCAAGATCAATCTCAGTGTTAATCTCTATTACTTTAATGATCAACTAAAATTATATCGGACAATCAATGCTGATCAAGATATTATTATTTTAGCGGAGCGCGATTAAATTAATTGAAATTTCGAGTAATTACGCGTTGTGCACAAGCAGACACGTCAGCTTGCGTTCGCCCGTGAACCATCGTGCTCGTGATTCAACAAAACTGGACTAATGCGGCCGCACTCTGCGCGTGAGAAGATTGCAGATCGCAACGACGCGCTTAATGACGAGTTGCTGCGCCGCCGAATAATTTGCCCGTTTCTTGAACTTAACCGAAACGGTAATGTATGCAACTCGCGACTCCCGCGAAACCGGCGCGTGACCCGATGAACCCGGCAACCCCGGCCACGTGAATTGTCAAAGCCGCCGTTCTCTTCGCGTATTAAACACAGTCGCGGCATCATTCGAGATCATGCGATCTCATTTACGCAGTAATGCGCCGCTCGCGCGCGTGATGAATCAAGCGACGCGAAGGCTGCAGAAGAGGCGTGTGTATCCTCGTAAATGAATTCATGAGCGAATCACTCGGCTATTACGTTAAATCACTCTGTGATTGACTTCCACGATTTGCCACTGAGAGAAAAGTGGGAAGGGAGTAGATGGGTAAAGTGAGCGAGAAAGAGAGAGAGAGAGAGAGAGAGAGAGAGAGAAATGCCGAGGCTCTCCTCTGCATCCGCGCGCTCTCGCTGAGTAATTGTGGCAATTCGGCACTTCGCACTAATCTCCGCGGCACGCGCCGGATTTTTCGCTGTTCCTGATTAATCGCGCTATCGCGGGACGAGCGACGTGCGTTGCAAAATGCGCTCCGTTCTTCCCTGTGTACGAACGAACGAACGGCTTTTACATGCGAGGATACTCACGTGCAACGCGTAATGCATCGTGCGTGCGGCTCGTAACGACTAAAGGACAGACATCGTGTCCGATGTCATTTATACTTTCTCTCCTTAAACGCGCCTTTACCCTCGTTGCGCTGTGTCCAGGGTGTGACGGAAGGGTGGATCGCGGTGGACTGGCGGTCGCGTGGGTCGAAAGCTGCAGAGCTCGTCATCGACGAAGCGATTTTGATCGAATCGTCCTGCGAGCGTTTTGTTAATATTAATTTCAGCTTCGTCTTGGAGAAGAGCCAACCGATACAGACATTTTTTATGACTGAGTAAATGACCAAAATATTAAAAGTAAAATGGTGAAAATATTTCGATAAAAAATGAGACTCCAGCACGAAAATCGGAAATGAATATTCAGAAAAGAAATTGCAAGGCCTACGAAAAATGTCATTGTGTAAATAAGATGGGTCGATCTTGATCCAATAATGATATTATTAAGACTAAGATACTCGAATTGTTAAAACAACTTGTAATATATTATTTCCGCCGAATAATTGATTTCCGCCAGGAGGGTGACGACGTCGGTCGTTCGACTTTGGATGCATCGATTTGTAGCCACTTTTTTATACACTTCCGAATTTCCTTCCGATCGAATACCTGAATTCTGACTCAGCAGTATGTCTGTGAAACTTAAATTCCAATTCCAATAACAAATGACCCCATTGACAGGCGGCATTAATAACAACGCAACAACGTTTCGCCAGGCATCCGTGTGTATTTCTCTATCTTTACAAGCGTGTGAGCCTTACAGTATCTACTAAAAAAAATATGGCAATGAATGAACAAGTGGCACATCAATGCAGGACGACGTCGGAGAGCGCGTAGCGGCGCCTCGCGCGAGGAATTATTCTCTCCTTCTCCCCCTCTCCCTCTGAAGCCAGACAGAGAGAAAATAATTCTCGAGTAACGAACGTTATCGTTGGCAATTATAGCTAATTTACGCGAAAGCTGTCGCGCAGCACAGCCTGATGCTCGCATGGATCGACGAGGACTTCATCCAACGGTATTTCTTCAGCGTCGCTTGAGATCGCGCGGGATGCAATTTTCGTGAGAGAGCGATCGGCTGGCGTTCTCGACGTGTCTTCTTCCTCGCGATCGGCGACAGGTGTCAGAGGACGCTCGTCTGATTCGGCTGGCTGACTCGATGACCACGACGAGGCGTGTTTCCCCGACGAAAAGCTCCGTCCGGCAGGCGGATGGCTAGTAGCCGATTTGGCTGATCGTGCCGACGACACCTGGAGCAACGACTGCGGGTAGATTGTAAATCTGCACTTGTCGAGGCGTGAATGCCAGCGGCCGATTCGTGCGCAGATTCGGCGTGATGATTACTGGGTGCTGCGCGAAGTCGAAGCCGCCCAATTGTCTCGCTTGCTGCTGGGGGTTGTCGACTTGCCCGTAACCTGGATACTTGGCCACCATGCCGCTCACACTTCCGTACGGGATTCCACCTGTTGAGTGATGCAATCGAGGCTCGTTACTGTTAACGAAGTCATTAAAGCGCGCGCGAAATTGCGAGGATAACGGACGAAAAGAGAAGAGAGATACAAATTGAGAAATTCCGATTTGCGTTTTGCGTTCCGTTTCGTTTTATATTTCTAAAATGATTCTAAGGTGATCTTAAGGCGATTCCGAGGACACTGGATAAATATTTCTCGCCCACTGCGAAAAGATATCCGTCGCGACGATATCGTAATGTAAAAGAATCCCGGGAATATGTTAAGCGACTTCTTCGCTGTCTAAAAAATAATTTAATAGGTTGGAATCTGAGACGCGACTGGAATGATTAAAGCGTCCTGATTAGTAAATAAGCAATCGAATCGTGAAAATTCATTAATAAAGTAATAATAAATGTCTTAAGCTAAATATGTACATAAGGTTAACTTTGTTGGAAAGTTTAGACATTTGAAGTTTTGATCGCTATATTTTCCAAATTTGTGGATAGATTTTTATTTATTTATTTATTTATATCCCTTAGGGAATTATTGAAGTATCTTTTGGTGGCATGACAGTTTGATTTTGTTTTTTCATTGGTAGTTAATTTAATTATGACTGTCAAGCTTTGGGGAGGAGGCTCAAGTGTATGGGAGAATGTTAATAAATTGATAATATAAAATGATATAATAAACACATTTAATAAAATAATGTGAGAAACTGACGTAATGAATTGACAAAAATAGATCTCGTATGTCGAACAAATTTTCGGACGATGATTCTAGACGACGATTATTAACGAGATATTTTCGCGAATTATGTCTCTGGGAATTAACATCGCCGTAAATTAATTCGATATTCATGGGATTCGAGAGACTCTTGGATTCCATTCGTGGTAGACTGTTTGCGAACCAGTTGAAAGACACCGCCGAAATGACGAATGTTTTTCACGCATCGTTGTTGTTTGCGACGACATCGTAATTTAAAGGAACCCCGGGAATATGTAAAGCAATTTCTTCGTTCTGTGTCTGGAAAGTAATTTAGTAGGTTGTAACCTGAGACGCGACTGGAATGACTAATTGTGCGGGAACTTTCTGCACAATTCAAGGAAAAACTCCAAAAATAACGATAGCTTCGCGTGTTATTGTATACGTATTTTTATTTCGAGTTGCTAATGTCGATTTACGAAAGGGTCAGAAATGAATAGATTTATTGAAATCTTCGTGGCCTACTAGACGCGGCGGCTCATATCTAACATATTGACTATTCTTCTCTGGTGAAAGGCAATATGAAAGGTTTCAGACACGAGCGACCACCAGTGCTGCTTTCTGTTGGAGACCGATTCGGATCGAAAGCTCGGAAGCGGGACTATAAATATTTCATTTGGTTTATTTATCGATTGATCTCTCTATTCCACACGGAAATTTCCACGTGGAAATATTTAACTAAATTAGAAAACGGCTGTCAAAATGCAAAAATCAAGCGTTCTCAAAATAAATTTGCCATAGGAAGAAATGTTGTTAATACGTTGAAGCAGCTGTAACATGATTTTTTCATAAATATACATCAATTATGACAAAGCAGAGTTTCTCTCAGGAAAACTTTCGTCGACGTTCGTTTTCATGCGCGCGTCTCTAAAATTTTCTAGAAAGTCAGGAAGCAGAAGTCTGACTTACCATATGCCAATCCGTTCACCATCTCCACGATCCCGGCGCTGTCCGGTGCAGCTGCTGATAATTTTACCAGCGTCGCGAGTCCAAATAACAGGGTGATCTGCGGGAAATTGCACATTAGACATGACGATCCCCGGTGATTTCAATGCGCGCATAGGTGTACCTGCGTGACGTAAGCGCACCAGGAAAAATAACTATTAATTTAATGTATTTTATACGTAATTCTCACGCTCTTCCTCCTTTCTTCTCTTTCCGCCGGCGCAAAAATCGGCATAATACTCGGCAATTTTTATTATTAACCCCCGCGTAATAATTGGCACGACATGAACTTTTGGTATCAAACATATCGATGCCCTTTACGCAGCATTAATTATTATTTATGTTTGTAATATTTCCGTATATAAAAAAAATTAATTAACGTCTATAATCAGTGTCATAAATATTTCATAATTAGCGTGAAGTAAACCTCTGGCATTAATATCAAAAGTTTGGTATCAAAAGTTTAACCAAACGTCCGATTCAATATAACTAAATCGACGAGGAGCGAAATCGGCTGAGAATCGGCCCGACGTTTCCGCATAAAACATAATTAAATTGACGCTAGACGCTCGATGTATCTCACTTGATGAATGCGAAGCGAGCACAAACGAATGTCGAATGCCGAATTTGATAATGTTCGCCTGAGTTCCTTACGCAGCGAATTATTTGACAGTTCGCCTTGACAATCCGCCGTACGCACATATTTTCGCGCGGCCGCTCAACAATGTGGCCGAGAACGGCGCGGCTAAGAATACCGTGCGCGTAGTGTTTCATGGAACGAGACACGCGGTTGTGTCACGATTGTGTCATCGCTGCCGAGCGACTCCGCGGTATCGGCTCGCTCAGCGAGAACTGTGTCGCGTAGGCGATCGCGGCCTCGAATCCGCCTGCATTAGGACGAATTTCGACAATTGGCGACAAAAAGCGCCTCGCACCCGCGCAGCTAGAAAGTGTGCCGCGCATTTGCATGCCGTGTATATACCCGCGACTTTTTTCCGCGTCTCGACCGTGCATTAATTCGCAATCTTTTCACGCGTTGCTGCACGCCGCCGCCATCGCGGCCGATCCTTTTACACACACCGTGCAAAAATCACCGAGAGAGGCCGATCGATCAATGATTATTGCAACATCCCGGACGCAACGATCGTTCGATTAAACAACCTCTCCGACGTTACACCTTTACGCAACGAACGACACGACAGCATATTCCCCTTCCCCTCCCCTCCCAGCTTCGTCCATACTGGAACGCGCGTGTCAATCTGTTTTCGTGAGTTTTGTATCAGCCATCCTCGACAGCATCCTCAGGTCTGCGTCCTTGTGTCTCACTTCCAGGACCATCCTCGAAATTACGGTATAATTCCTTCCCGATCGCACGCGCATCGATCTGTTTCTGCGAGCGTTATCCGGAAAAGTTCAGCTACCGTCTTCAGTCGCGACCTCAATCGCAAATCTACCTCAAAAACACCCTCGAATCCACCGGACTGTGACATCCTCGTCGCCGGGACCACTCTCGAGATTCCGTTTCGAGACCAGAATTCGTTCCCGATATGCGAGCGACGAACGTCACGATGACGTGTTCAATCCGGCTCGCCTTCGAAACGCTCTACCATACTGTAACTTCTAACGATCTGTTTATACGTCCGAAAAAGAGCTCCATCGCTCTGCCCACAGTCAATAGAGTCCCGAGAGTGCGTCCTCAGGTCCTCGAATCCGCCGCACTGACGTTCTCGTCGATGGACCACGGTGCCGAAAAACTAGCGTGATCCGCTAGTTCCTGACCTTTTCACGTACCTTGGCGGGCAGCATGTCGCCGTTCGCGGGCAGCAACGCACGGCGTCTAGCGGAAACTTAGCAGGTGACTAGTCTACAATGGCGAAGATCGAATTATATACACGTGGCATATCGTGTCGTACGTATTAACGTTGACCAATCGTCGAGCGGTGTCCCCTTTCGATCGAGCGCGCATTTTATTCGTCCGTCTAGGATTTTATCAGAGCGCGCGCGAAGGATATCGCTCGGCTCCACAAGCGGCACCTTAACCTTGGCGCACCGCGGCCAGACTCTTTCTCCTTCTCTCTCACGTCGCCGCGATCATGCGGATTCCTTGGATCCCTGCGCGCCAAGGACCGATTTCCATTACGATCAACACGCGTTTGCTTTTTGTACGTGTCTTTTCTCTCGGCTCTTTTCCAGACAGAGAGAGAGAGAGAGAGAGAGAGAGAGAGAGAGAGAGAGAGAGAGAGAGAGAGAGAAAAAGCGCCCTCCACGAGAGTGGCGAACGCGTCGATGACGATGACTAACGAAACCAGCATTCGTGTTCTTCCGTCACGTGCGAAATGACGTCAAAAGCGAACCGACGGAATCGAAGAAAGTAGAAGGAGCAAAATATTGCTTGATGATGGAAAAGATGATACAAATAACACAATAATAATAATATTCTTTTTTCATATAAGTACAAGATATATGTTATATAATGTCCAAGCGAAGGAGAAATTAATTAGTCGTAATTAGTAAGACCGTTCCAGTTTATGACACGTTTGTATCTATTTTTCTTAGTAAATGAATTAAAATAGACAACGGATCTATATTTAACCTAAATATGTGTGTTCTTACTCCAAATTCATATATTATCAGTTATGACAAGTTTCGAGTAAAATCAAAAGCCACAGAAATTCTGAAATATAATTATAAGCGTATTGCTGACGACAACAATTTGCGCAATTACTCGTCGGCATTTCAAAAATTTATTGAATTAAAATCAGATGTCTGTTTGTTGAACCTGTGCAGTTTTCCAATTTTTTCAAAACTAAACTGTCAATGAGAAAAAATAAAGCTGTCGTATCATTAAATAACATCTCAGTCATTCTTTCGAAAGAAGATATTATGAACAAATTAAAATTTTTTCCTCAGAGTCAGGAATACACAATGCAATTGAAATCCTCAAATATCCAAACTTTTCAACAAAATCAACTTTGTTGCGCACTTAGTTTACTACATACATCATTGATTTATTAACTTGTCTTCACAAGGAGGTTACTTGGCCACTAATCTGAACACTCATCTTGCACGAGCTTAACACGTTGGCTACCACGTTAATTTTCACGTTAATTTTCATTTCAATACTCAAATCAAGTATGAATCGGTCAAGTCCGAAGAAACGGAGATACACTCGACGCCTCGGAGATACGAGAATGGAAAATTTCTAAAGATGTGCAAGCGTGCGTTATTCGTGTAACACGAGCGTGAAGCTGCGCCGTGAATCGCGGCTTAATTGTGCGCGACTAATTAGCCAAGTATGGGCGTATTGCGAGCTAATGTCGCGTTCATTCCGCTCGGAGACGCTCGTTGGGAAAGCGCGTCGCGATTATCTAATGTAATACGATTATTACCGACGCATAACGCGCTCCTCGCAATTGAGCATTTGAATTGCAGGCCGCCGGGGAGAGAACGGCTGGAAAGTATTTTACCGGCGCTCATTTCGTTCTCTCCGCGACGAGCAGCAGCTCGAAATACTATCGCTCTCTCTCTCTCTCTCTCTCTCTCGTGTGACGAAAATTAGATCATGGCTGTTCGCTTTTCGGAAACGGAACGCGCTTATGTAATGGATTCAGTCCTAATGATTTAGCCGATAATTTCATGGTAGGAGAGGAGGCGACCGAAGTGGATTGTTATGACGTTAAATATTATTGACGAGACACAGTGATTGTCGAAAATGGAGCGATGAGACAAACGGACCTAATGATTAACCGTCCTAATGATTAAAATGTGCTTAATTATTGGAAGCGCCGGCATTATTATTATTCGTGGGTATAAGCGGACGTTCAGAGGAATTTCTAACGAGGGAAAGTATCATTCGCCGGTTTCTTCACGGGCCGCATCTAACGTTTTACGCGCAGTACGAAGCAAATTATTATGCATTTCTTTCTAATCAGAATAAAGTCGCCGAGCGGCTGCGGTAAAAGAAGTGCGGTAATTATTACGAGCGCATTGCGAATTCGCGAACGAGCGTGACGGCTCCGCAGGAAATCTCAGCTCATAAACCCAATTCCTTCGCGCACGACCGTAGATACAATTTCTCCGTCGTTTCGCGCGATTTCTTCACGATGCGCCTAGAGGCCGCGTTAGAATAATGAGAAAAAAAAAAGGGAGAAAAAGAGAACAGCACGTTGGCGCTTTCGAATAGGCCGGGTATTGATCATATTACGCAATGTCCTTCTATAACGTTTATTTATGACAAAAGTATACTAAATTATGTACAGTGTGTGACGACACAACGAAAGAAATCGTTACAACATCCTTGGTCGGCTCGCAATTGGCAACGGGCCGTGTCTAAAATGCGCTTTCTCTGGAATCAACGACTAATTAACTGGGATACGCTATGCGACACGGTGAGCCGTTAAACAAACAAATCGAGGAGATATCGTGCGTGTTGTGGTTAACTGCGAGAGTGCGAGTGTCGCGTCGTGTCTTCTTCGTTATTATTTTTCTTTCTTCTTCAAAGCGTCCGCTCTCGGCGGAGGTAATTATCGTCTCAATGATTAACCCCGAATTCCTGAATTATATTCCTGCATAATTAAACGAGAATTATGATAATCCTTAAGTCTCTAAAGGCTTCGCTCGGTTTGTTTTCGTATATTATTATCAATTGCGCGTGAAGCAAAAGATGAGCTGAACTCAACCGCAAGCTTGGACGGCGAACATTTTTATTCGCGACAGTCTGGAAACTAAATGATAATACTGGCTTGTTATAATTGATAATCTCAGGTTCATCGGGTGAAATGAGACGATCGGCATTTTTTTATGTCGTTGTTATTTTGTGAAACGATGTACATGTGCCGTTTTGACCTGCGATCCTTCGCGTAAGAATACAATTGTTTCATTGTGGCTGAACATTCGAAATCGCTCGCTGCGCAAACCAACCAATTAATTCGGCATAAATGTGTAATAATATTATATAGTCACCGATTTTCACATCAAGATTTTAACGCCACGTATATTCACCGTTCTACGGTCGTGGAGATGCTTGCTTTCTTGCGCTTAAAAAGTAAAAGTACTAGCTAGAGAATCACTTATTTTCTACGTAATAGTATAGCCTGCGTTCCGGGTCCTTTATAAACCCGGCCTTTAATAATGACCTCGACCTTTCTGCCGTATTTTCGTCCTTCTCTTCGCCGCTGATTTCCTTCTGCCATTCTTCGTTCGTTCTGGTCGAACCGTTTCCGATCCTCTCCTTCGCTCGATCGTTTCTGCGTCTCGATGGAATGCTCCGCATCATGTTACTCACAACATGTGTCTGAAATCGATTTCTTTGTTAGTGGACTCGCTTTATTGACAGGCAAATTATATGAAGTATTTAAAATTTCCATATGTTTGTACATTTTTCCAGGCCGATATTTATAGTCTGTCATTGTTTGACGAATAAGCAATTATGAATTCGTAAATCTTTTGTCAACCTATTTTTATTTTTTTATATCGAATTGTTGTCGAATTTGCTCATTAGATTTTCTATCTAAAGAGCCTATTTATTTGATATGCAAATTTGCAATTATTTACGAAATTAATTAGCTAATTAATATGTAATTAATCAGGTTGTCAACCGAAGATTGCGAAGATAATTTGCAACTATGAACAGCAGCCTCAGTGTCGTCGCTCGACATTGATAGATTTGAGATATCAAGTAGATCGCCATTTTTAAGGACACCATGCGAAAAAACAGAGGAAGGTAAAATTCCGTGCCTTAATAATCGTAATTCTTTGAGATCCACGACAAAGATGACATTATCTGTCTGGAGCCATATTGCGTCAGCTGAACCGTCCTGTGCTGCGGTGACGAACTTACTTCTGACGGCAGCGCATCCCCAAAGTCGTCGCTACCATCATCATCCTCGTCGAGAATGCTAAAATTATTTATCTTCTTAACCTCTTCCTTCCTCATGCCGAAGCCTTTCACAGGGTTGCCGCCTCTGTCGACATCAGATTTCTCCGATCTCTTTACATCGTCTTCCTCAGACTGAACATCATATTCTCCTTCGTCCTTTCGTCTTGTCGGCTTCTCGTGATCGCTCGAATCTTCATTGTTGCCGTTTTTCCATTTGCTGTTGCCCTTCCGGCGACTTACTCTAATTTTGAGTTTTTTCACCGGCCGATCGAACGTCGCGTTCTTCTTCGCGATGTCGAAGTCCATCTCGTCCGGGTACGTCGTCTTCGTAACGATCTTCTCCTTTGAGACTCTCGAGCGGTGCTCGATCGTCCTCGTTTTCGGGGTCGAGGTCTCCGCTTCCACGTTGTCTTCGACCGTTGCGGTTACGGAGCTTGGAATCTGCTCGGCGGAATTCAATCCGCTCGTCTCCGTGACGTCGTCCATTGAGTATCTCTTCCGTAGATGCGCGAAATCTGACTTGCTGGTCTTAAGGTCGACATCCGCCGAAGAAGGCGTGGCTGTCGTTGTGGTCGACACTTGGGGTCTCTTTCGTCTTCTCTTGGCGTTAGTGGAGGACTGAACAGGCGAGATCGTGGAGTTGTTTCTCGGGGTTCTCGGATACGTTGTTACACGTCGACGTTTCTTACGTAACGGAGGAGCCGGCGAAGAAGCTTTCTTCGTGGTGTCGTACAGCTGGCTTCTCGCTACTGTTCCCGCTTGCGAGCCTGAAGCTGTCGAGTTAATGTTGTCCTTCCCTCTTACTTCCTCATCAGTCTGCTTGCTCTTCAATTTCTTCGAGTCAAATTGTGAGCTCGAAACGTTCTTGTCGTATTTTCTTCTTCTTCTTCTGGTTTCTCCGTCTGATTTCCTTCTCGGCGGCTGCGTGATGTCTTCCGGCACGAGTGTTCCTCTGGAGATCCCGCGGCTCGAGGAAAGTGATTTCTGGCTGGCCGAAGAGGAGTGATCTTCGATCTCCTTCGAAGTCTCCTCTTTCGAGGAGTCTTCGTTGGATTCGTCCGAGTCGTCCTCCAGGAGTTTCTTGATGGACCTGCCGATCTCGCGCGCGCTGGACGGCCTTATCGTCGTGTTATCGGCTATTCTGTACCTGCTGCTGTATCTCGCGAATGACTCCTCGCTGCTGGCCTCCTCCGCACTGTCATTCGTGTTTCGGGATGAGACGTCGCGTCTGGTGTTCACGTGCTTACGCTTGGAAGGAACATCGTATCTCTCCCAAGGGTAAACAGACTTCTCGAGCCTCATGGACTCTTCTTCGTCCTCGTTCTCGTCCTCGTCTTCGTCAAAGACTACCTTTCGGAACTTCCTCTCCCGCTGTCGTTTCTTCCTTCGCTCCTTAGCCTGTTCCTTAGCCAGTCTCTCCCTCCTTTCCCAAGGATATTCGAACCTCTCGAGATCTTCCAGTCTCTTGCTCTTGTCACTGTCCCTGTCAGCGTGCCAAGGGAACAAGTAGTCCTCCCTTGTCTCGTCGTTCTCCTCCCTGGGATCCTCGTCGCTGTCCTTCGGCTCCTTGTGTTTCTTCCTAATCATCGATTTGTATCTTGAGAATGGAAAACGACGGGACGTCGTCTTGTCGTAGGCCGTGACCCACGGTGGTCGCGTCGTGTATACGAAGAACGTCCGGTCGTCCTTCGAGCTTTCCACCTCCTTCGAAGAGGAGTCCTCGGAGAAGCCATCGTTCGTCTTCATCTTCATCAGCATTTCCATCTGTTCTTCAGACTTCTCCGGAGAATCATTTTCCCACGAAGTTGCCATGTTCTTAGAACGATCAGTCTCCTCGTTCTGTTGCTCGTCGCTGCCTTTCGACTCGTGTATCGCGCGATGTTTGTTCATTGGCACCCCCATCTCGTCGGAGAACGCTTCCGAGTATTCTGGCGGCTCGGACTCCAAGTACTCTTGAAAGTTAAGGATTTCCTTCGAGTTCAAAGGACTCGCTAGTTTCGTCATGCTCTGCGGAAGAACGTGCTCGTTGATGTCCTCGTAAACGCGATACACGTTCGTCATATTCATCGTCTCTTCTTGCTTCTTCGTCTCCTTCGGGCTGCCTTCAGACCTCATATTATCGAGATTACCGGCCTCGGTCGCTTCTGGGTACTCGATCTTCCTGTTGTAGACCGATTCATGCGCGTTCGACTGTTCCGGGCGATGAGTCTGGGTCGTGCCACTTTCCTCACCTTCTGCCGATGACGCTGCATTCTCAGTGACCGAGACATCGTTGATCGCAGAACTTGGCGTCGTAGAATCGACCTGCGAGTTGACGACAGATTTCCTCCTCGTCAGGTGATTATACCTGGGTTCCTTCCTCCTGCTGTCGACGTCCGCGCTCTTCAGACTCGTGTTGAACTTGTCGAAGCCCCTGCCGTCCCACTTCGGCTTGGAATATCTGATTCGATCGTGGATGGTGTAAACCATCTTCTGAGGAGCTCCGCTCCTCGAGTCGCTGCTCGCAGGCTGCCTTCTTCTCTTTCGTTCGTCCACCCTCGTTGACGACGGACTCTGGTCCTCCGCGTGCATCAGTCTACTCTCCCCGATCTCCATGTCCATCGCCGCAAGCGTCGAATTGCTTGAGGTGGTCGTCGTTTCCTCGGTGACCGTGTCGTTTCCACTCGCTTCCGTCGACTTCTCGACCGTCTTCTGCTCGCCTTCATCATTCGTAGGAGTCACTGCTGAGGAGTTCCCAGTGTCCCTCTTGCTTATCTTGACGGCGTGATGGTGAGCGATGATTCGAGGGAGGCTCGGCGCCCTCAGCAGAGACACCCTGTTCTTACCCAGCGGCCGCTGCTTCCTGTAATTCACAAGTCTCCTCGGAGCTTGGTACTTGGGCGGAGGCACCAGTCCTTTGATCTCCGAGAACGTGACGCTGACGACGTCCGTCGCGTTCTTCTCCATGGAGAGATCCCGCGTGTCATCCGCGACCTTCGGCGCATCTTCGTTGCCCGCGATCTGGATCTGCGTGGAAGGCGGCAAGGTGGTCGTCTCGTAGACCTGGTAACTATGCGCCATGTTCCTGATGTTGCCCATCACGTCCTCATACACCTGATTCTGGTAAAATTCGGTTTGGTAGTCGGACTTTGGCGACAGTGTGGTGGCGCGGCTCCTCGGCTTCGGTCTGCGATTCTTCACCGCGACGCTCGGCGGCCTCGAACTTCTCACCGTGTGCAGGTAAGCGTTTCTACCTTTCCCAGTTTTGGGGTCATGCCTGTAGTTGACGCGAATCGACTCCTGCATCGAGTGCTGAGGTTTCCTGCTCCTCCATTGACGACCGTTGCGTTCCGGCTTCTTGGAAGCTTGGTGCACCACGTAGTCGTCGTCTTCTTCGGGCAGCAGCACGACCTTGGATACGAACTTGACGGGATCCAATTCCGTGGGCGGGGTTGGCTCCTCCACTGTCTTCTCGGCGAACAACGGACTGTCCAAAGGGTTCTCGTCGAAGTACTTGGCCTTGAAGCAGTCCAGCTTGTCTCCCAGGCCGCGAAGGCGCGGCATATTCTCTTGTTGACCTCGCTCGGGGTCCGGCTCTTCTTTCTCGGGCAACACCTGTTCCAGCTCGGGCTCCACCTCGTCGCACTGCTTGTAAGCGTTGCGGGACTCGTAAAACTCCATGCCGCGCGAGGTCTTTCGCGGGATCGTTCTGGGGTCAACCACATACTTCAAGGCAGACGCGACAGGCAGGTTTTCGTTGTTATAAAACGGGTACTTCTTCGTGTCTATAACGGCTTCCGTTGTCGTCGTGGAGCTTTCCACTGGGCTGCCTTCGGTGAACTCTTCGACGTAATCGAAATCGGGAACTTCGACCTCGACTACCCCTCCGCCCTTGTTCTCCGTCGAAGTCTCGTTGGCGTCCTTGGTCTCATTGAAACGCGTCGCGATCTCTCTGTCGATGACGTCCGCGCTGACTTTTGGAGACTCGTTCAGCAGCTCCTCGTGATCCCTGCGGTTCGCTCGGCTCGTCCTCCGGTCTCCTCGCGATCGCTTTTTATCTTGCGAAAGATATCTCTTCTCCTTTTCCGCAGATTCCTCGGCGTTCGTGTTACTTCCGCTGACAGTTTCGTTCGTCGTGTCTGAAACATCGAACGCTAGTAGACTTTAAAGTTAAGTAGAAAATTAAAGTTATGATTACTTTATTTCATAGAAAACGCGAAACAGCAGAAGTGACAGTTACTTTTTCACTTGGCGAGTAGCTGTAGTTTTTTATCTAATATCTGCGCGGAGGAAAAAAGATTGGCTGAATCAGTACGACCATGAACAAACCACCCGCGCTTTAGATAAAGGAAACAGAATCTCTGGATGAATCAAACTCAGCTCCAAGAATCAGAAATTACCGACAATGACAATAATGATTTATTAGCTTCTTAGTTATATACAAATACTGTACAAAGAATAAGCAATATAAAAATTAGTTGAGCCCAAAGGCACGCCAACAGTAGCCTTCACTATCGTCATCTTTGAAATGACTGATGATTTGAAACAAGATTAAAGAAAAGATTAGACAAATCAGAAGAGACCAATACAAATCTCGCGCCGATTTAATTAAATAAAAGGCAAACTCGCAGAAATTCTGTTTTCATCCATCGTCGGGTTCGTTCATCGTCGCGTGAATTTACGTCTTTTTCCCTCGTGTGTAATTTCTTTTGTCTAACCATCTGCTAACTTCTCCTGGAAGAAGCAAGCGTTATATTACCGGCTAGTACGAGATTGGATACAGAATTGCCTCTCGTGGCTAGAAAGTCACAAGGTCGCATTTTTCTACCCGGACATGTCCAGGACGAACCTTCATCTCGTGAATTCGACCCGCCGCGGTCAGTTGCAGCTGCTTGCACACCTTCATGATCGTAGCGAAATTCACCTTCGGCCGACCTCTTTTGGCGCACACTGGAACGTGTTCTCCAGCTCGCGTCGGGTATCAGCGGCAAAAGTCTCAGCGCGTTGTCGCGTGGTTGCTGCAGCTGCTGCGATTTCCCGACGACGTGGGAGAGGAAATCGTCGCGCTGCTTGCCGCTGCGGTACGCGCTGTGAACATTCGCGGTCGGCGGCAGCAGCGACAGCGGAGGTGGTGGCAACAGCTTCGTGACCGGAAGCTGATTCTTGCGATAGATCAGCTGCACGGGCTGAACGAAGACGAAGGGATCGACATGATAAGGCGGTTCGCTCGGTCGAGAGCGATGCTGATCGCGCGACGCGCCTCTCCAATTGTTGGCCTCTCGCGGCGACTCACTTTCCACGGACACGCTCGAGCGATCCGCGCTCGGACGGCTCGTAGGCGGGAAGATCGGATGGAAGACGGCTCGCTGATGAAGAGACGGCGGTTGCAGCAGAGTGAGGCCTCCCGGCAGGATAATCTTCTTGTTGCTCACGAGCGGCTTGATCTTGCGGTTGTTCTTCAGGTAATCCAGTATCTTGGTGTACTTGGCGCTCAATTCGTCGCGGATTCTCTTGTCGTCGTCGTCCTCTTGCAGGGTGCTCGGTGATGTCTGTTGAGGGAACGACTTAGGAAGGTCTGTTGACTTGACGGCTTTCTTCGGCGTCGGTCTCACCAGCACTCGGTACTTGGACTTGTTCCGGGCGACGGTGATGTTACTGTTGTCGAGGACAGGGCTGAGGAAAGGATTCGCCTGATAGTCGTCTATCTGTACGTAGGCTTCCTCGGTGATGTTGAGCGTCATGACAGCCGGGGTGGACACTGGATTGTCGAGCAGAGACGTTGAAGAAGATGTGTACTCCGTATTTTCGAGTTTTGTGGGCTGGAAGGGCTGCGGCAGAAGAGGCTGCAAATTGGTGAACGTCGACGTGGCTATGACGTTGTTGACGTTGTCGATATGATCACTTTGCCCTGGTAGATGATGAGTTGGTTCTTGCACGGAGCCAAACTCCACATGATCGGAGAAGAGATTCTGCGGGTGGAAACTGTGCGTCCCGAAGAACGTCGGCGGCAACGTCGAGGTCTCCTCCGTGACCGACAGATATGGACTCTGACCGTCGAAGGTAGCCACCGTGACTGATGTGAGCTCTTCCAGTCCTGTGGAGTTCGGGACGAGTGTGCTCGGCGACTCTAACTTCTTGAAATAATCCCAGAAGAGCTGGCTATAACTGATCGTCGTCGGCTCATCGAGCCCTCGGAAGGCATCCGCGGTCTGCTCGACGGAGTACGCTTGAGAGTTCAGCGAGTTTTTCACAAAACCGTGAGGTCTCGCGGGGATTTCAAGGCCGATCGTTGAACTCGTCCCATCTTCTGATGGAAGCACGGTAGTCCCTTCGTGAAGCTCCTTCTGCTTCTCGTTCCACGAATTGGACTTCTTCCCTTTCTTCGAAGTGACCGGCGTATTCTCTTCATCCTTCAAGTCACCCTCATCGTCTGTCTCTTCTGACTCCGAACTGTCGACCTCACTGAGAGGTTTCGACTCTTGTTCTTTTTGGTAAATCTTCTCGTTCCTCTCGGCCTCTTCGGCATCCTTCTCGACGTCCTCCTCCAACTCTCGCACGCCATTCGTAACGACGAGCTTGGGATCCAACTCTGAGCCCTCCCAGACGTTCTTATCCTTGCCGTATCCTATCAAGTTGTACTCGTCATCCGAATTCTCCTCGCGCTTCCTGCTCTCAGCCAAATGGTCCTGATAGTCCTCGTCGTACTCCTTGAACGCCTCGGGGACCAAGTTCCCGTGCTCTCCCTTTTTCTTCTTCCCGCTCCAAGAGTCATGTTTGTCGTCCATCCGATCGTGCTGCTTCCGCGCGAATCCCTCGTGGAAATCGGCGTCTCTGACGTGGCCCGCATGGTCGTACGCCGAGTCCTCGTAGCCCTCCTCGGTGTAGACTGTATTGACCTTGGAGTTGGTGACGACCTCTCTCAAGCGGTGCGCGTTGTGCTTCTCTTCATCGGTCTCGGCGCTCTTGATCGCCTCTCGCTGCGGCAGTCTCTTCACGGTGTGCGTTCCCCGGACCTGCGCGTGCAGCTTGGTCGGCACGAAGTCCAGCGGGACGTCCTTGCCGATCCGCGGTTCGGAGCGACGTACTTTGGTCGCGTGGACCCATCCTCCACGTCTTCGTGCACGGAATACGGTATGGCGTAATCCCTGTCTTCGTGACGATGGGAAGGCTTCTTGTGTCGTTTCGGGAAACCCGTTTCCGCGGAGTCGAGGATCTCCTTCGTCTCCTCGACGGTCGTCGAGGCCGGCAAGGTCGTGGTCTCTTGAGAGACCGAGGTTGTGGTGTTCGACGGCTGCGGCGAGGTGTAGTCGATGCCAACAGTGGGATCGCTGCCGATTGTCGTAGTGGACGCGTTGTGATCCTGACAGGTTGATAACGCAGCCAAGTGGCCGATCGTCAGCAGGAGCACGACGGTCAGCTTAAGGCTTTCTCGTAGTCGCGCCATTCTGTTGGATTGGTCCTTGCTTCATAGCACCATCAGCACGTGGAGATTACGTGAAGACCACACGCGCTCACCGATGGCCATCGGGGTGCGAAGTCCAAAGTCGCGCACTGCAGCGACGAAAAGAACGAGGAAACGACGAAAAGCGGGTTGACGTCGAGGGAGAATTGCAACCGATTATTAATCAACTTCCTCTCAGAAGCTCCCTGATTCATTACTCGCGAAGCATAACTGGCATTACCGCGAATGAACCGCGTCACCGCAAGATTGCACGGGAAGGGGGGGGCTTCGCCACACAATCGACGGGTGTCATTTTACGTCACTTTGAAGTTCAGTCATTTCCTCCTGATCTCGATCAGATTATCTCCCCGGAGAGGGCAATTAGACAATACCGAAGGTCGCGAGGCGCGCCGAAGAGGCGGCGAAGGAAGCGTCGCGCGTCGCGGGAGGTCGTCACGCTGCTCAGCCGTTTGTCGTGCGTTCTTCCAGGACCGACGGCAAGAAGACGGAATGGATCACGGATTAGCGTCGGTCGCGGCAAGAGAGAGAAATTCGCGATGTACGTGCGACCGGCGCGAGCCGCCGTGGTTTCTAATCATCTTCGATCGGGCTGTTGCGCCGGACTGGTCGACGGTACGGGCCGCTTGGCCTAATTTATATTTTCCAGCGATCTCTGAAAGGCGAGGTAGGGCGAAAAACGCTGGAACGACCGGAGACCCTGCTCCGCGAAGCGTGCAGAATCCGAGCAGATCAACGATTCTGTCACTCTCGATTGGATCCGTCCGCCGCTCGCCGTTTCACCCAGACGATGCCTCTCCTCCTCCTCCTCCTCCTCCTCCTCCTCCTCTTTCTCCTCCCCAGCCACCAGTCGCTGGTGAGCGCATTAGAAACTTCGTCGGAACTTCGATATCCTAATTACGACGCACTCGTACCCTGAATTGCGAGTGCTGCAGGAGATCGAGCCTTGGGAAGGCGAGCCGCGCGCCGTTAATCGGGAGAAACGCGTCGCCATTAACGGGAGTCAAGAAGACTCCTGACGGGAGGAGAATGTGTCACCGCGGGAAAATCCCTGCGAGGTGAGATCTTGTCTATTCTTGAAAGTTTTATCGATCTTAGAGAACGGAAGGACTCGAGAACTGAAAGGAGAGAATCTTCAGACATGAAGTCGCACAGAAGATCGCCCTACATTCGATACTGCGAAATATCGTTCACTCATTGTCGTTTTCTCTCTGTCTGAGAGCCTGAAGAGGCATTTGCCTTCGAATTATTCTCGGTGCTCGGTTATCTCGACATTTCACCTGCGTTTTATCCTCGGTTTCAGCAAGCGATGCATTAATTATGCAACTTGCTCAACTATCAATCTAGAAGGCAATCTAGAAGATACGTTGAGTAATTGAACAAGGATCGACGGGGTTAAACGGATCAATGAAACAGTTTCTTTCTTCGTGAAAGAAAGTTTACTGTTTTGTAATTCTTTTATTAGCATCGGATACTTTGACAGGATTCGAGGGTCTGAAAGGGGTGAAAGGGAACAAGTTGCATGGCCAATCGCAACAGTCGCGTGCCCAATCATATTACATTGAAATTTAACTTCAGTCGCCGTAGTCGCTTAAATTCTCTTGTCTCTGTTTTTATTTAGTTTAAATTTAGATTCAGTTATTGTACCTAAGTTGAAATCTCCGTTTTGAGATTCGAATGTAGATTAAGTCGAAGTTTCTTCGTGGAAGGAAAAGACACGATGGAAGAAGAAGAAGGCGCGGATCCAGGATGGGTCTCGCGGTGCAGGGAGCATTATTCGACCACTCGACTGCTGGACGCCTCAAGTTCGACGGAATTCGCAGGGTTGATGTGGAAGCAGTCTCGGAATTGCGTCTCGGGCATTCGTCGAGACAGAGTAGCACGATTTACTTCGATCAGTCATCTGTGAATCGTCCGTTTCGCCGGCTACGCCGCGCTCCGCTCGGCTCGGCGATTATCTCCCGCGTCTTTCCGCGTTAGGCCGCGAAGCGTATCGCTCGCGCTCCGGGACTTTCTTCGCTCCGACGAGCCTGTTCGAGAGGACCGTCATGGAAATGGAATTTCCATTTCCAGGGCTTGCAGCAAGTAGACGCGTGCGTTTTCTTAGTGGCCGGTAGACGTTCGCGCTGCGAAGCGAGCACGATTGCAGATCCAGGCAAAAGGACTTTGTTCACCGTTAAAATACGGACCTTGCGATTTTCGATGGTCGACTCGCGATCGCAATTTCGAGTGAAATTTGAGAACGTATTATCGTCTCCTCCAGTAAAATGCGTTTCAAAAAAAGTTTGTCGATCTCCAGTCGAGAGTCGTTAAATATAGAACTAATAAGGGCCTCCGTACTGCAAAATGTCACAGTCTGATGAAATAAAGCACCATTTGGAATTGTTTTCTCAAATATTCAGTTCAATTTTAGAACGTATGATTACAGTATTGTCGTCTTAATCTCTCGTAATTCTTCGCGAGAATACCGCAATCACATATTTCAAATATTCCGGATACTCGGGAAAGCGATTGTTCTTATTGGCTCTTTGTTCAACTATTTTTGCGAGAATGTTTACGAAATCGAGAATAAAGTTCATATATTTATCTTCTAATACTGAAGGAGTATCAGTCGCCTCGAATGTCACGTGAATATACGAACGGCAATTCGTCGTCGAGGAAAGTCGGCTCGTAATGAGCGATGCTACGAGGCTTGTTTCATCGCCGGGATCCTCGTGTTCTCGAGGATATAATTTGCAATGTAATATCTTCGGCGAAGTCGCGAGGATGATTTTACGCGCTATAACACATTGCTGTATCGTAAGGACGCAAGCAACCGTACGCTCGCGCATACTCAAGTATCCACGGTATAAATCCGCTTTAGTGCCTGTAAAATACGCTTTTCGAACACATTCGTGGTTTAATGCGCGTTTTATTGCACGTCGTACATCGCTTCATTCGACGAGGGACCGATTTTTCTCTCCTCTTGTTTTTCGTTCCTTTTTTCCCTTTTCCTCACAGATGTGTCGCGCTTTTACCTCTAATTTTTAGCTAACGAAGCCGAGCGGTCTCGGCCTCAGACACAATAATTATGACTAATCGACGGGCGATCAAATTCCATTTCACGATTCTTACAGCGTGAAATCCCAATTCCGAATAGTGGCACAGAAATGACAAAAGGAGTGCTTTATCGCATGTTGATCCCGTTTCTTCACCGGTCTCACTTTCTCTTCCCACCGAGCGATGTGTAATGAGTAACAGAGAGACGCGAGTAAGCTAATCGCTAAGCAGGGCCAGAAAAACCAAATAACAAGAAAGCAGATTGGAATTCTTCCTGTTTCTGCATTTTACCGAGCTCGCACCCTTGAGAGGAAGTCTTTGCAAAACAGACGGACGCGAGGAAAAAATTCAGCTTTCTCCGTTAACGCAAGGATGGCGCGGTTGGGCTACATCCTCGTTTTCACACAAAATTAGAATTCTGATATCCGCGATTCCCCGAGAAAAATCGCCGATGGTCAGTCACCTTGGCACGAAAGCGAGTTACAGGAAGCGAGCGGGATTTTTTTTATTTCAAAACGCGGGGACGCGAAACTGCATTCACAGATCGTTGATCGAAGTAAGTTGCGGCGAGTAAACAATAATCATGCACAACTCGTGTTGAAAGCTATCGATATCGGCTGCAAAGTGTTGAATACACTCTCTCTCTCTCTCTCTCTCTCTCTCTCTTTTCCCCCTCCCGCTATCCTTCTTTTTTATTGGCTGTCGCACGTTACATAATGAAAGAATCAGCATTTATTGTAGCGAGTTGTGAAAAAAGAGCAATGTCTATAAAGAAGATTTTCGGACGTGTTTTTAATAAATTTGTACAAATTTTACAAATTTTCATGAGTCGACATCGAATCATACATTGCGTTTCGAGGCAGCGAATGCCACGCATAATGTGGAATGGACGTATTGGTACATTTTGTCTCACAGATACTTCATCGATACATCGTCGATAAATCGATGATTACTAAAAGATTTTAGTTAACGATAATAAGCGAAGAGATAATATGAAATTTTGCCGGGAAGTTTAAAAATTTGCAAATTTTCTCAATTTCCGAATTTTCGCATTTTTATATCGAGAGAATATAATGAGCAAAGAAACAGCGCGAATTTCCGCGACGAGAAAATTAATAATCTACAAGTTTCGCATATCTCGATTTTTGTGTTTAGTATCAGGCAAATATAATGAGCGAAGACATAGCACAAAGTTTCCGCGGCAACTTTGGAGAATTTTGGAATTTTGCTTAGATGCGAGGGACGTGTAGAACAAGTGAAATATTGGAAGAGATAAAAAAGTATTCTCAGTTCATATTTAAACGAATTTTTAGTCTGAATCGTTTCCTACAATATATTGTACAATATATTGTAATTCTATATAAAATATGAAATATATTGTACAATAATGTAACAATAAAAATGTAAATATAAATGTAAATCGTCTTTACTTCACAAATGGCTATACAGGTATAAAATCGATAACATTAGTAACAGATTTCTTACTTTTTGACGATTGTCTCTATGTTACCGACGCTTTTACAATTTGTCCACTTCGACATCTCTTAACCAAGACTCAAACCATTTAGTTAGAATTAATTAAACTATTTCACTCGAGATTCAAATCAAGATTTAGATAATATCAAATTGCCATAAGTTTTAATCAAACTATTTAGAAACTTGATTTTGAATTTGCATCAGAAATGCGGTACATAAGAAGCAAAGTAAGGAAGTTCGAAAAATAATTCGAATTTTTATTTTTATTATATTTTGATACAATCTAATATACGATATAAAATAATATATAATATGATGTAAAGTAATAAAAAATAATAGTTATGTTATACAGTACGACGTTCTATAATAATATATAATATAATCCAATGTAATAATTACAACTTTATATACGAACTACAATTAAATACAGTGTTAAATTTTTTATATTGGATTTTATTATATATTATTTTCTAAACATTTTACACCCCTATATTTTTTCTCGATTTCAAAGATGTTTTGTTGCATCCAGTATTATCGAGTCAAATCCGAGGGATTGCTTCAATCTCGAAACGTAAAGTAGCACTTGTCTTATTTTTGTTAAAAGATTTCGTAATATTGTGAAGTAAGACTTTAAGATTTATAAATAATTTATAGAACTAGAAATTTATATAAATAGCAAGTCTAAGCAAACGTAATATAGAACGTATTAAAATACAAGGAAAAAGAAAAAATGTTCATTGCATCTGCCCATCATGGCCATAATATTCAATTAAGTATACATCTACGACTATATTTAAGAATGATTTCTAACAAATACTCTGACTCTTATTTTATTACTATACAAGGGTTCCCGCTTCAAGCGATACGCCGTAAAAACGTATCATTACCTACCAAGTCTTTGTGTGACAGAATAAATTGATGATGCAATAGAAGAAGCTAGTCAGACGGAATATCTACTTAAATCTGTGTTCTCTCGCGAGTACCTCGTGTCCTGCGATGATATGCCTACAATAAAATTGTGTTTTCGGTGACTACACCAAGATTAGAGAAATTCAACCTGTCGAATAAGATTTTAACGATTAAAAGCAACATACGCGGTACCTTACAATTCTCGATCACATCTTTTTCCTTCAATTTTTTTTCTGTTTCTTCCTTCAATTCCTCCACTCAGAATTAAAAAGTGAAGGCGAATAGATTTGCTATAAATATTTCGTATCGAGGGACATCTTATATATTTCTCTGAGAAAAATTAATCTTTTACTATATGTATGTATATATCGTACAGATTGATTCAGGAAACGTGGGCGCATGTAAGGTGTGATTTCGAATCCTCATTGAAGTGGGATGTCAGGTACTTCGAAAGAAGAACTTTACGTCTTAAGATATCATCGGTTTCCATGCATTACTGTCGCTTTGAGCTGTCGATGACTGAGTGGCTGGTTCGACGGATTGCAGCATGGAAGCCTCTGGCTTGAAGAAGTCTATGATGGGGTGGTAGCTGTAGTTGATCCTCTTTTGCGGCTCCTGGTACTCTTCGTCAAAGCCTCCATTTTGCAACCTCGACGAGGCGTCCACTTCTTGATCGTACGGTTGACTGTAGCTGGAATTTCCATGTCTAATGATGATAAGTTCAATATAATAAAAGATAAATAATATCGTATATTAGGAATATGCGATACATAAATATGGTCCCACGAAATTCACCTTTCTTGATTTCCTCAGACGGGAAAAATTTTCTCAGACCACCTGCTTAAATGCGTTGCGTGTGTTGCAGTTTAAAATAATTTCTTTCTACGAATCGGCAAACCAGGAGACGTATCGTACATTGTAAAACTAAATTCACGCTTAGATCGCGTTAATACAAAATGCTGCCTCACTCACTCACCGGTTCTTGACCGAGCTGTTGCCGGCAGCCTCCGTGTAATCCTCGACGTGGGAGGTGGATTCCCTCCTGAAGGGCGGCCTGCTGAGTCGGTTGGGCCTACTGCCCTTCGTTAGCGGTCCTTTGTAGCCTGGTGCTCGCGTGTTGGGCGCGTGCTGCTGCGGCAATTTGTCGTAAGGCCTTGGAACTGGCGAGGGCTTTTTCGTCCTGGTCCTGCCGGGTAAGGTAAAACTCGGTCTGCTCGGGCTGACATCCAGCACTTGTTTCTTATTGCTGGACACTGAAGCAGAGAAGCAGAGACGCGTTAACCAAAACAATTCGGCATCATCGAGTAACGTCGAGTGGTGTTCTGAAGATGTAGATTAGAATTCTGTAGATTACCGAGACTGGAATCGAAGGTCACGGTGGGGCTGTAATTACTGATGTGGTTGAGCGCTGGCTTGCCGAGATCCGAGAAATCGTTCTTGTGATCGCTGCTGGCGAAATCCGCGCCTGGGAATGTTTCCTTGGACTTCGTCGGCGGGTCCTTTTGATGCGGCGGGAAAATCTCAGAGTAACCGTGCACGTGGCAGCTGCAGCAAGTTGGGACCTTGAAGATGTCCATGTGAAGTCCCAATTTCTGGTCCCAAGTCAGCAATCGATGGTAGTTGTAGATTTGCATGCAGGAGGAGCGGTAGTTCTCGGAGATGAACGAGCAGCTCGACTGCGGATTGCTGCAATGAGAAAACGTTGAAAAGCGAAGATTGTTGGAAGAAAATTTAACGTGATATTGCATTTTGTCCGTTTTATGATATTTCATATTGAAGCGTTACGGAATATCCTTTTTTAATAATACAAACGGTATCGACGTTCAAATGAGATTCGTAAAAAAGTATAAATTTCTGGTAATCGATTATATCTTAAAATCTAGAAGATGATAGATTTTTATTTTAATAATTAATCTTAAACAAGTTATTACTAATGATATATTAATAACATCTTCGTTTTTCAGAAATAGCGCAACTCACCGATAGGCTAGACAACATTTTCGTTTTCAGGCGAGTCAGGACGACTCAACCGACCGGGAAATTAAGTTAAAAAAAGGATATTCCCGAGATATATAATTTATCTTTAAAGATGGCCGTCTCTCACGGCCGCGATGATTTATTATTCTTTAATTAAGTTTCTCGTCGCAAGCCATATTTCATGCTATATTTCGGCGTCGATGACTCGCCACCGGCAAGACGCACGCACTTCGCTTCATTACTCAAGACGGAGCGTTACATAATCCGATAATTAATGCCGAAATAAATTACATCTCTTCCTTCGGACTTTATAATATATCGCGTGTCACACTCACGAGCATTTCTCTAGCCGCAAGGTCTGGGTGTGTTCGCCGGTGTTTATTATGTACTTCCAGACTCCGGAAGCGGCTCTCGCTAATTGCGGACGAGCATACTTGACAGTTGACGGACAGGTGAAACCCTCCTCCACGTTATCGAAAGGATTGTCGGATCGTCTGAAATGAAGAACGCACACGCGTGGGTAACGAGAAAATAAATTTCTCGTGTTTATCGCTCGCGCGAGCGGAGCTCGTCCGGGCGTAACAGAGAAATTGACAAAGTCGAGGGCGGTGGAGAAACTGCGGCCACGCGCGTGTCTTCTCACCTTTTAATTTCGTTGTTCTCGTATTTGTTCTCGTAGTGAGTCTCGAATTTATTCTCCAGCGGCAAGGGGACCGGCAGCTTTTCCTCCGCGCTTCCGTAATCCTGCGTCTTATAGTCGGTCAGCAGTGCCGACACCATTTCCTTATTGGTCCTTAAACTCCTTATTATCGCCTCGCTGGAAAGTTAAGGCCGCTATTAAATGTTCCCGCGCGAAAGCGAGCGGCCGCGCGGCGCGCGCGATGTATTTTCACCGATGCGGAAAATTTCCTTCATGCGGCCGGTTAACCCGCTTGAGCGTGCCGTTCATGCGCGAATTACCTCGGCTTTAGTCGCGGATTTCAGATCTGTCATGCAGTGGCGAGCGGGCCGTTGCGTCTGACTTTGAAAATTCCGCCAGATCACCGGCGTTTACTTCTACTACGATTCGGTTAATTCGGCGTCGGAGAGATTTCGGAGATACGCACGCGTGCGGCGTTTCGTTTTATGCTCATCGGTCCAAAATCCTTGGCCGCCTGTCCTCGTTCCTCCCGAGGAGGACGGTGGAGGCGGCCGGGCAGGAGGGAGGAGGCTGCGCGAAAAGTGAAAACCTCGCCGCGGCCTCGCCAATTAAGACGGCCCGGAAGATTTTAATCTCGTCGATATGCAAATTGCCGCGTAACAATGTCCGTCATTAATTCAACCGGCAAAACGAAAGTTCGGAGCAGACTCACTGCGGATAATCGTTGGCCTCGAGACACACCGTCTTCGTGAAGAAAGTACACTCGTTCTCGCTGGGTCGCCTCTTCGGCTCGTTCGGCCGCTTAGACGGCCGTATCACGGGCGTCCTCGAAGGACCTGGAAAGCGGTCGATCGATTCATCCACCTGGGTCTGTTTTGACTCATTCTGCCCGCCTTTTATCGGACGTGACCGGGGTTGGGAAAGTTATTAGGCGAGCGCAGAAGTTTTGATGGGTTTTCCGATAGAAGAACGTGGACCAAATAATTTAATTAAAATCGATTTATTCGTTCCACCGGATACGCCATTGTTTTCTATTATCTTCCGCCAACTTCCTCCGAGTAAAAGATAATAGAAATGTTTCTGATAAACTTGCTCCCCCATTTTCCTATCACGAATTCTATCAAAACGTTTGTACTCATCCGGTACTTTTGAAAAGTTAGCTTATTATCGTTATCGTTGCTCAGGATGTAACGAACGATTAAAGTTTCTGTCGCTTCCTTCACCGAGTTCTGAAAATCTTTCTTCTAGCCGATTTAATGCCGTAATTTACATGTTTGAAATAATAATTGTGTGCAAAATAACGATTATATTCTTCACGATTACTGTTACTAAAAAAAGAAAGGAAAGAATTAACTTCACACTACTGGAAAATGCAACTTGCAACAATAACAACGGCGTCACGCAAGTAACGCGTAACGCTTTTCAAGCCTTTTCAAGTCTTTTTGCGAGCGGTGAACGCTGCGAAAAACTGACCTGCGTAAACATTTCTTCTGTTCGGCAGAGACGGTCTGATGGGCCGCAACGGTTTTATTGGCAGCGGCCGTCGTCGTTCATGGGGCCTCACCAACCGTAATTCTTGGGCCTTTAATTGACAAAAAGACATACGAATAAATTGCGGGACCTCTCGCGAGTCTGTAATGTTCCGATCTATTGTGTTCGGTCCGGTCGGAAGTTTTACTGAATTTTCTGTACCCTTCACAGGTTGGCCATTTTCTTCTTCTTCGCCGTCCGCCTCGCGGAAGTTGTAAGGTATAATTCGCGATTAAAATCTTACAAGGTAATTTATTATAACGGTAACGAGGCGCGATAAACGCGTAATTGCGGCTGACTGTGCGAAAATACTGAATTTAACAATATATTCGCCGTATAATTATAAGCGCGCACCAGTATTGTTCGTGCGCGCTGACCTTAATGATCACTTAGACCGAAAGAGGAACATCACCCCGCGCCCGAATATTCTGTGAACGCAAACCGGCACAATAGTCCTTTAACATGTTATGCGATTCATCAAAATATTATAATAAAAAAGAGGCCACAAAAAATGAGTAATTGAAAGAATTAAAAATAGATTATAAAAGAGGGAATAAGAAATGAATCATCATTTCTAATCGTACACGATACTAATTCATTATTTATTGATTATTTAAAGAAAATTGTGAATATCTGTCACAGTATTTAGAATGATTATTGTCTGTGACGGTATATACCGTCACACGGTATGTGCTCCGGTATATACGACGCTATCGTCGCTGATCTACGCGAAGAATAAGTTCACATCCGCCTGTAGCCGTCCAGATCGCGTTCGCTAATTAATGTCCCGAATGGAAAGTCATGTTCTGGCGTGGGGCGGTATGTACGCACGGCGCTTGCCGCCACTCGAGATTCACGAGACGGTCCACGAGGCGTCGCAATAAAATATGTCGAACGCGTGAAAGTACTCGCATAAGAGGTGCCGTTTGAAGGCCGCCGCTACGACGAGTGAAACCGCGCGAGCGATGCGCGTCCATGGTGTCGTTCTAAATCTTAGGCGAAGCCCGCTATTCGAGGATGCTCACGGACGGGGATGCTGAGTGAAGCTGACGTGTGTGTCGATATAATGTAATATAAATTTCCGTTTTTCCAATTTTCCGATTTTCTGGACGAAAAAAAAGACCGAATTAACGTGAAAAACAAAACAAAAGCGTTTTGATTGAAGGAAACAGAATTTCTGGCTTTTATAAAGCAGATTCGATTCTAAGAACCAGACATTGTTTTTTTTTTCAAGCAAAACGCGTCTGATTCGTTCAATGTCTTAATCTTAATTCAACCAGTCTTCTTCATGAGAGAAAAAATCTGAGATTACTTATCACACAACTCAGTTAGTTGATAAATGCATTACTCAAAATATGTTACGCAAATATCTGAAAAATGTCTTAAAGAGACGATTAAGACAAGTGAGATATTTTTCGGACATCTAAAAATTTGTTCAGACATTTTCGTTCTACAAGTCAATCTGCGAAAAGCGTAAGTTTTTACTCTACTGCTATCAATGTGTTCAAATAAATAAAGCTCTATTCTATGATTGCAAAATTAAAAATTTTAATTAATTTGAATTGACTTGAATTAAATAATCAATACAAAAGAATGCGCCTCTAATCCTGATTATATATATGAAGAGATAATCACGAGCCAACGAGCAAAAGGATGCCGCGTATCACGATTGGCACAGATTAAATTCGCGCAACGTGCCTACAACGGACGATCTTCAAATAAAATGAATGCGACAGCGACGACGTCTCGGGCTTCGTCGTTTAGAAATCGCGGCGCGACTTCAATTTATTGCACGCGTCTCGTAGATTAAATTCGACATTCGTGCACGCGGGAATACACCGGGAGATCTGCTGTCTCCGCCGAGGGAAATGTATTTACATATTCGCAACCGTGGGAGATAAATCCCACAGAAATTTATGACAGATGGCCGCGTCGAATGCGACTTTCTACCGCGCTGTGTTCGTCGGCGGGAAAAAATCGCGCGCACACGCGATTGTCTAGACGATTATCCGTCACGGAAATGTCGGCGAATAAATATATATCATTTTTATTCCCGTGTGTGATACTTTTCACTTCAACAAGCAGAAGAGGAAAATATTTTAAATCTCGAACAAGACTCGTTAAATTAAGATGAAAGCTTTTTAACAAATTGAGCGGAAAGTCCGAAAATGGCCATTTTTGCGAGTACGAGATATCGCTTCTTAGCCATCGATACGGAATTTTATTAGCCTCTCCTTTCCTCATCTGTAGTTGAACATCAACAAAGACTTCAAAGTTATTAGCTTTTCACCGACCTCGGGCAACGCCTCAGGCGCGTCCTCCTCGTCGTCGTCTTCCTCCTCGGTCTCCTCTGCGGAATCGTCGGATATGATCTTTGCGATGTCCATGCTGATCGGCAACTTGAGTTCCCTGCTGGCGTTTGCTCTGCTGCCGCCGAGAAGAGAACGTGCTTCCTCGAGCGACGAGGAAGTTGTGTCGTTAGTAGACATTCTCTTGGAGATTAATGCCGCCATTGACAATTTTTGCGGCGGTGATACGCTACGTGCTGATGATATTCGCTCGCTGATTTGCTCTTGCTTTTCCGGCAGCTTTATCGCCTGGGGAAAGAAGGCACGCAGTTTAATGAGAAATAACAAGCAGTAGAATCGAGATTCTACGATACGCGGAGAAATAAAGACAGAGAGGGGGAGAAAAGAGAGAGAAGAAGAGGCGTCAAGAAGAGTTGAAGTAGCAAAGAGATGAGTCACGACGTGGGAAAAACTTTTTATTGAGCCTACTTCTCGTACTTTGTCCGTTCCGTTTTGGCTGCCCTCATCGACGAGCTTCAGCGATGTCGATATCTTCGTCTGAGCCTTCCCGCCATCATCCACTTCGTCAGCGTCCTTCTCGCCATTGATTGGGGACAGTAGCGCGACTGTCTAATGAACAAAACAAGAAATTTCACGTTAGTACAATTAATATAATTATGTTTTCAGACTTCCGGATTTTACCGTCAATATCCGTCAACTACCTAACTAATATCAAAAATGTCCAGAATATTAAATTTTCTTACTTATTGATGACATTCTGCAAAAAACTATATTTTTGCAAAATACATCTCCAGTTTTCTTCTTCAGAGGTCTGTCCAGATGTTTTAATCTTTAAATCTTTTAAGGATATTATAAAACTTCAAATACATACGTATCGTCATGCATCTGTAAGAAATTATTTTTACTTCAAAAGGCCAACATTGGAAAATTCGGTGTTGGTCTAAATTGGTCGAATCCAATTAACATTTGACGTAAGGCAAAACAATTCTAGGACCTCGCCGAGAGACATCGCGATACCAAGCATCGACGGCCCGGCGAGCTAGAATTAACAGTTAGCCTGAGAACGCGAGACGTGCAAGTTGGAATATACTAAGGCGAATTTTCGCAAGCAGCCGGATAACATAATATGTTAATTCAACTTCTTTCGTCGCTAATTAGGCCGCTCGTCGCGCGGGACAACCATTTATAATGAGAAGCGAGTGAAAACGACGCGCTCAAGAGAGAGAGAGAGAGAGAGAGAGAGAGAGAGAGAGAGAGAAAGAGCGCACGCGATTCAACGAGAATAAGGGGACAATAAAATGCAACTTCCGGAAGGGAACAATCGTAACGAGCGTGCAACGTCACGGCGCTATACATAGCCAGGGAAAATGAACCGCAAGGAAGCGTAAATTACATTACGTAGATCTCTTGTTTGCCAAGAACGTGGACTGACTATCGTGCAGATCTCCTTTCCTTTCCTCTTTCCTTTTCACGAGAAAGAGAAAGAGAATAATGAGGGAGGAGGAAGTGGCAGCCCATCCGAGGAAACAACGTCATTGCACCGGAAACGCGCGGCTATGGCCGCAACGCGCGTTTTTCGTTTACCGCTCGACGTAACCTCGCGCAATCGTCGAAAAGGAAAAGAGAGAGAGAGAGAGAGAGAGAGAGAGAGAGAGAGAGAGAGAGAGAAAGGAAGAGATCGAGGAGAAGAAAAAGTAGAAAAGAAGAAAAATAATTGCCCGTTCCGCGAAAAAATCCCGTCCCGGGAGAAACGTCGCGCGCGCGCGCGCGGATTAAATCCGCCTCGCGTTAAACGACCGCGCCGAATTAAATGACTCGCGCTCGCGTAATTTATACGCGCGCAGCAATTTTCAGCGCGTCTCGGGTGGCTTTTAGTGAAAGTAAATGGCCGCCAGCTTCATTCAGAGGGGCTCTTAACAGTCGGCCGGCCCCGTAATTGGGCGATGTGATAAACGGTGCCTCCAATTTAATTACTTCAGCTAAGCGACTCAATTATTATTACGGTCGCGGGCCGGCCGTCGATTGCGCCGGGAGTCACTCGTCAACGGCGAGTTATAAATTTATACTGCGCGGCGGATTAATGAGTCGGGAGGCGTTCTTGTACTTTTGAGTCTCTCTCATGAGCGATACTTTTGAGTCTCTCTCATGAGCGCCGAGGAGCGAATCGCCGGGCTCATCATCGTGGCGCTCGTTCATTGCTCGCAAGATGTGCCTTAATAATTAATAAAACGAACCGAGTACGGATACATTCCATGAGTATCCCGATGTTCTTTTCTCCCTGATGAAGCTTGCGCGTTTTTCATCTTGCAGAAATACCGAGTCGTGCTCGAAGTAGGAAGCGCGTGGTCTCGTTTATGTGCAAGCTAATCGCGATGTTTAACGAAATAATGGACATTTATCGCGCGCACTTGATCTACGCAGAAAAAGTTTCGGACTAATTAGTTATCCCAGCCAGATTTTGACACAGCTGAACATTTAGGCGAGTGGCTCCGGTTACGAGATATCGTGCCTCATCATCGAATTTCGTCCGATCGAAATTTCTTTCAGCATGACAATCGAATTTCGATAATTTCCGGCTCTTAAAGCCGAATTTAGTTTGTTTGGTTAATTCCGCCGATTCTTCTTCCCGTATAATCATAATTGAACAGAAAGATTTCTACACGGTAGGTTCCTAGTCAATCAATTGCTTTCAACCATTCCGAGCGAGTTTTGACGTAACTGAATGTTCAGACGACTGCTTACGGTTGCGGCAACACAGATATCACCTCTCGTCATCGATTTTTCATTCGATCTTCTTTCAATTGCAAGTGAGGTTTCTTTCCTCCTGAGGTCTACAGAGCTAAGGTCCTGCTGCGCCGCTGGTCATTTACAATTCACGTAACGACCCAGTAATCACAGCCGAGTCGAGCGGACGATTTCACTAGCATTCATAAGTCCCTCGCGCAGATGAACGAAGTCGCGTGACGAGCGCTCGCTTCACGGCAAGTATCCCGCCTGTATTACGGTAAGCGGTAGCGGTGGGTATCAACCGTATTCATGGCGCTTGATGGAAAGCCTTTCGCGGGTTCCTGTTCGCGCGCGGTCGCGCGCGCAGAGAGCGAACTCGCTATTCCGGCGCGTGTTCGAAACGCGTTTATTACTTTTCCTCATTCCAACGGCTGGCTGGATCAAGGCCGCGACAAAGGTTGTTCCACTTTGGACCAGGTGAGTCGACGCAGAAAGCGTCACACACGAGCGATCAGTCGGTCCAGTGGACGGAAGAGCCCGGGCCTAAGTGGGACTTGTTGATGAGCGTGATTTTAAGGCGAGTCAACGGCTGCGCGCCGACAGGATTATCGCTCGGCGTAATTACGGACGCCGATAATAGCGAGCCGCCATTTGATGATCCGTACAAAGTCCTAATGCGCTACTTCCCGCAAGAGGAGAGAGAAATTTTACCTCTTACATAAATGTGTAATATAATCTTCTGATTCTTTCCGCCGAAGTGACGGCGTGGAAATCCCTCTAATAAGACTAACCCGGCGGATTAGATAAAATTGAGGGAATCGAAATGGCGATCTAGAGCGATCTTTGATCTCTATTGCGTACTGAGAGAAATGAAAATTAAAAAAAATGAGAGAAAAGAAAATTAAATAAATCAAGGAGACTTGTTTAATCACACATATTTACTTATAATACAACATACATATTTTTTATAGCGAGGAAAAATGTTATTCAAATGAGCGAATATACATTTTCTTTAAATAAGCTTCTCACGAAAAATTGTTTATTCCATTTGTGTGGAAGACTCTGGAGTTGGGTAAATATATTATCAGTATCCACCGAGAACAAATATTTTATATTTAGTCTTTCCGGCATTCTTCTCTCAGTGTAGCAGAAAAATCTCACCAGAAACACACAGCAGGATTCTCCTATCTCGTACAAGAGAGAAGAGAGAAATTTTACCTCTTACGTAAAAACTAGAATATGTTTTCTTCATAATTCGTTCCGAATGTTTCTCGCCAGTGCGCGTCAACCACGTAAAATCGTCTACAGACAAGACTAACCCGGAGGGTTGATCAGAGCGAAGAAATCAGAATGACAAGCGACCCCTAAGAGGACCTCTAATCTCTAGATCGCAGCAGAGGATGATCTTACCAGCAGCACCCAGCAGGACTTTCCTATCCTCATCGTAACGATCGACACCGAGTCTCATCAACAGTTCCGATATCAAGCGACCTGCGACTGTCACGGATCACACTGTCACTGTCACTGCGACTGTTCATCAAGCTCTCGGCAGTATCGCGAAACGTCATCAAAACCTCGACGGAAGGCTTCTTGCCCTCACGAGCCGTCAACACCGTCGCATTCGCGCACCCTCGTACCTTCGAAGCTCGAACTTGAGAGGACCAGCGAAGCCAAGCTTCGGCTTCTCACACGCGACGCGGAACCTGCGCGCTCTTAAGGACTTCTCCGTGCCGAAACCCGCTCGCGAAATCCACCTGCGGCCGATCCGCTCGTCGAACTAGCGCGAGACGCGACGACGGCTCTCCCGAGGAGAAGAGGTGGCCCAGCAGGAGCTTCCCCGCGGCCACCACGTGGGGATAATGTAGGCACCCGGGATCTCCCTCTCGTGCAGTCGTGACCGAGAAAACCGGACCGTCACCGGGTTGGTGGATATACGGGTCGTACCGAAGAGAAGGAAGAAGTCGGCCAGCCGAGCTCCTCCTCTCCTCCGAGAGATCGCGGCTTTACTCTCGGTCAACAGACTTACGCGCGCAGCTTCGCGCTCTTGCGCCACACACAGGGTGTCCCGGCTTTTGTCCGGCTGTCTTTCGGCCGAGCTGAATGTCTCTCGCTACAAAAGAATGTCTCTCGCGAATGGAGGGCCGTGAGGACGTGAGGAGAGACTGCGGAGTTGTTCTTGTTCTCCATCCGACTCGGAGCGGATGGAGTTGCGAAGGCACTTGGCCTCGCGAGAAAGCAGATTGCTCGACTTCGCGTTTGGGACAAAGTGACCGCTAGTTGATGGGGAAATGAAAGATAGAATCGCGAGCAGAAGAAAGCGGGGATAGAGATAGACAGACAAAGAGAGAGAGAGAAAGAGAGAGAGAGAGAGAGAGAGAGAGAGGGGGGGAGAGAGGGAGAGAGAGAGGAAAAGGGAGAGAGCCTCGGACACCCTGTAGAGCGCGACGCTGCAGGAACAACGGGCTACAGACGATGACCAACGCACTGTTCTCTTCGCGATCGCTGTTGCGGATCTGGTACAGCCGATGTGACATCCCATTGTGCCGAGAAAGCCTTACCTCGCCATTGATCATCGCGAGATCGGTCGTTTTTGTATCGCGGAGCAGCTGGCGGCACGGACGTATGGCCGCTCCTTCGGAAATCGCGTCCTGGCGAAAATCTCACGCTCGGCCGACCGTTAGATATTCATATCGCTCTGCAGAACGTCGTGTCGCACGGCGAAATTATGGCGGCGATAACTTGTTTTCACCATGATCGCCGTTCCGCGTCCCCATACTTTCGATAATGCGATTAACGCGTAGTGCGATTGTTCAGAGAAAGTCCGCGAGTACGTGCCTGATATTTTCTACACGCGGCCAGAGCTGAACGTGAGCGCGAAATAGATCGTGACAATTTATAAACACGCTGCAGCTGGATTTCCACTGGAGATTCTGTCTCACGAAATTTAACAGCTCGCCGAGTCGAAGTCGGAATTAACTGCACGCTGCGCACGCGGAGAGAATATTATCGAGTTGGTGAAAAAAGTTTGTCAAATAAGGTAGAAAGTCGAATTATTCGATGGCGAGGAGAGTTTGCAATTTTTACGAACAAAATTGATTGACTCGGTAATTTTTTAGTCGTCTAAAAGGAATCTTTAGTTTCCTTTCGGTAATCGAACTTTCCATACGAAAGTTTAACAGAAGAATGAGAGGTCTTTCGCATCAATCTGCTTTACGTAATTCTTTTATATATTATTAGTTTTCCCTATAAATACTTTATCATGTTTTCTAACAGTGCAGTAATGGATTGCTAATAAAGTATATCTTGATAAAAACTACAGTAAACTTTCTAATAGCTTTTAATCTTTATTCGCCAAAGTATATAAACTGTATATAAAGGATAGAAAAATAATAAATTAGCGTGTCAATATGTTTCTCGGTTGCAGACTCTAAAGTGATGTTTCCTATAAAATTACTCCCGCGCGCGTATAGGAACACGTTTGTAATTTATTAAATCCATTTGCGTCAGAAACGGAATTTACTACGTTTGCTTAGTCTGGCCATTATCACGCAAGAAGATAATTGCAATTTCTCACTGAAGTTGAATCACACCAGTTGTATATTTTTCCGATCTCTTAATTATGCAGATAGCTTAGGAACATCGTATCATCTACATGCTCGACGACCACATCAGCCTCGGAGGAAATTTGCAACGCTGGCCACTCGGAGGCGACTACCCTGCCGCTGCTGGGAAGATTTTCCCCTTTGGGGAGTATCTCATGGAAGAATGGATTGTATAACAGCGCATTCAAATGCAGCTAAGAACGCCACGCGATCGCGGGTTGCAAACTTTCTCACCTCAGATTAAATCACTTGAAATTGCTTGGAAAGCGCAGCGGGCGCTGTAATATCGAGTGATCTATGTAATATCGCGCGAGAAGAGGTAAAATGGCGAAAGTATTATTTTGCATATGCACGGCGATCTGTGCATGCATTTCGACACGAGACACGTTAAAGAGGCGCGATAGGATCGCCGAGCGGCGAGATAAGCGCGAGTCGTGCGCGAGAACACTTTCTCACGTTAATTACACGGTCGGTATCTCATTTACGGGATTGTCGTTCGCGCGTGTGCTTAACGGGAGGTTACCGCCCCGCGCGATTTTCGCGAAATCTGCCTCTACGTTGAAAAACACTCGCGCGCGTCATCACGCGACGTGTCTTTCGCGAAAAAGTAAAAATAGAGGGCCAATCGTGAAATCGACATCTCTGCGCGCCGCGGTCGTAATTTATATCGCGCGCGACGTAGCGGCTCGCGGCTACAATTTCTCTAAATTTCATGTGCGTGATGTACGTCCCTCTCGTCCGTCTCGTCATTCACGGATTAAGCGTGTCGCAGATGTCGCCTGTCCTCGAGAAATTACACCTGACATCCAGACAGAAATTTCCGGAAGTCGCTGCGGCAACTGTTCTCCGTCCTCGTTCGCCTTGGCGGATTAACGGAAACTAATTAAACAATAGAATCATAAAAACAGTCGAAAGCGTCGGTTTGCACTCTCTTTTCAAAATTATTATTTGGTCTCACGATACGGTGCGTTTTATATCTTCAATACTGACGTTATGGAAAAGAGATGGAAGGATGAATATGTGAATAAACATTCCTGTAAAGTCCTTTCTCGAGGACAAGGAGGCAGAAAAGTGTCGTGTCACACAATTAATAGATATCACGCTTGTGTCGCTTCAAAATCCAATAATTTTCCCCTGATTTTAGCAAACTCGTTCCCGAAGAGGCTAATCGTCGGCAATTTTGGTGTCAACTTCTCTGCTTCGTGGATTTTCTTCCTCGCGGGGACGACGGCGTTGTGTCCGAAATTGAACATCGCGCCGGCGATTCCCCTCGAGAGATTCGTCTCATCGTCAGTTCGCACTTCCGTTTCTAATGACAGCTGCCTGACGACATGAGGAAGGGGTGAAAGCGACGGTTTTATGTTACGCGCGCGAATGGTGTCTCAGGTGCGATAATGCGACAGTTACTATCTTCGATCAGCGAGACGATGTATCGCGCGATAAAGACGCGCGCGTGCGCGTGCACGTGTCTTCGTGTACGCTTCATGAGATGTTTATTTGGCACCATAGACATAATACTATGTCTATGACTATTCCACAACTTCATCTTCCCAAGAGGGCGTTAGCGCTCAGCAAGATTTCTCTGATAGGGCCAGAGCATAGACTTCTGCATAACGCATAATACAACGCATGAGAGAATCAACCAATCAGAGTTCTTCATTTCTGTCCTGAGGAGGGAAATGAAAAAAACTATTTGGTTTATTCTCTGCGTTATATATTATGTGTTATGCAAAAGCCTGTGCTCTTGCTCATACTCCAAGGTTCGTATTTATAGTTGGGTCTCAAGTCAGCACTTAAGACGATCTCGGTTAAGTAGGTCTTATTCAATCAAGGCCGTCTCAAGATCAGTATGTTTCATAGTCGTGACATAAGACGATCTTCGCGAGGAATATGTTGCTCAAGTAAGACTTATTTGATTTGAGGTTGACTTGGCGAAGACAGACTTAAGACAGACGTAAGACTCTTCTCGAAACGGCTGTTTCCGTAATATTTCCGTTAGGTCCTCCAATCAAAACACAGGATACAAGGTGCAGTATTACTATTAAAGAGTACCATCTTATGTTACATTAGCAATGCTTGTTCTTACATATAATCTATCTGTATAAAAGGGGATCATTTAGAAAGAAATGAATCAACCAGAATTAAATCATACAAGAGAAATATATGACATTTAACTAAAAATACATGAAACACAATTAAAAATTATACAATATGAATTACATAAGAAAAATTATAAAATTGTAACGAGTAAGCCTGCGGCTGCCTCGTTACGCGCTCGAAAACGCACAACCGCCAAAGAGGTGGCAGACCGGGCAGACCGAGGCAGAGGAGGAGGCAACAATGCAGACTCCGGCGGGGATCGAGAAGCAGGAGCAGGGAGGGGGATGCGGACTCATCAGAGGAACAGGCCGCGAGGGGGATGGTTGCACCAGCGCCAGTACGCCCCCCCAGCCAGCACCTCCCTTATCACCCAAGAGAAGGGCTCCCATTCCAAGACGTGGTGCCCTCCCCCAAAAAGTAGCGAGACGTGAAGGGAGGGCATTACGACCGACGGAAGGGAGAATAGCGATAGGAGCAGTAGCTCAGCCGCCACCCGTACCATCAACGGTAGCGGGAAGAACAAGGAGGGGGGCAAACCATCCGCCCCCAGCCGTCCGCCGGCCCTGAGGACTGGGGTCGGATGAGGGTAAGGGGGGCAAGAGTGAGGCGATGACATCGACGTTGCCAACAATCACCTCCCCTCCTACCTACAGCCCACAACAAAGTGGGCATGAAAGGAGGGGTCATTGACCCTTCCCTGCTTCTTAGAGGCGGGAGTGCTCGGCGGCTAGGGGACAAAATTATTCCCCCCGTAACCGCCGGGCAGGAGGGTGGGACACTGGGCGGGGACTCTCAGTGTCCCAACCAGCCCTCCAAATGCAGGGTGACTAGCTGAGGAGGTGGATCAGCTAGTCACACAACAGTATTTGGGCGGCGCCCTGTCTGGCTGGGAACGGTGGTCGAAGCGTAGGCTCTTTGGCCGGCTTCCCCCTTCCCGGCCTAAGAGGCAGGGTATGAGGACTGGAAGGGGAACGGTGGTAGAAGAGGAGCTTCGGCTCGCTTCACCCCTCCCCTCCACCCCTCGAGGGAACGACGATGGTCGTACGTTTGGACTCGGGGCCCCGACAGCAGTAACGTAGGCTCTGGAGCCCCGGGGCAAGTCCCTTCGCAGCGCCACCCGGGGA